GGAGAGGCAAGGACGGCCACATTATTGGTCCATGATATGAAAATGCAGCTCTGGGGCAGACTCAGAGGAACAAGAGACAGAGCCTGGGAGCCAGTGCCCCCTCCTCATGGACCATCCAGGCCAGAAGATGGAGGACTGCCCAACTACCCTGGCTCAAGGCCAGCCTTCCCCATTCCCAGGGCTGCAGAATAGGGCAGGGGTCCTTTCAACTCCTTAGAGTGGCAGGGCTAACAGGAGGTATCAGGTCAGTCTCCATAAGGCAGTGCTTCTCAAACTTTGTTCTCTGGGCCACACTTTCAGAATAAAAATTTGCTTGTGCCACACCAGTTTTTTTAATAGATAATAAATACGTTGGAAAACAAAAAGAAACAACTCCTAGTAGTGCTTGATTTATAACTTGGAACACAACTGGTTTAAAGTATGATCATGGCACATCCAGAAAGTATAAAACAATGCAGCTACATAAGAACATGAATCATTCCCAGAAGTCCCGGGCTCTAAGGAAGTCAGATTAGCCTCAACCAGAGCCAGGGCCTTCTCAACACTGGTGGAACGCTCTGCCTCATGAGACCAGGGCCCTGCGGGATCTGATTTCTTTCCGCAGGGCCTGTAAGACAGAGTTGTTCCGCCTGGCCTTTGGCTTAGAATCAGTTTGATTCCTTCCCCCTCTTTCTTTTTCCTTTCTCCTCCTGTGATGAGGCTGCATTTTAATGTTTCAATGTTGTATTTTAATCTTGTTTTTAAGTTGTATTCATTCAACTTGTTTTTATCATTGCTTGTTAGCCGCCCTGAGCCCGGCCTTGGCTGGGGAAGGCGGGGTATAAATAAAATTTATTATTATTATTATTATTATTATTATTATTCCAGAGGCGTTGACTTATGCCCAAGATTGTGTCTGACGTCATGTGCCTGGCCTGCAATGTGCGGGACATTACATTGTCAGCCCAGAGCGCTGTGGCTTCAATGGCCGGCAGCCCCTCCTCTCCTGCTCAGGAGGAACTGGCCACTGAAGCTCTGCTCCATGCTTGGACTCCTGCGCCCAATCAGGGGGGCCAGCCAACAGATATTGGGGCAGCAAAGGCACCTCATCCCCATAGAGTTGGTGGCCCTGAATCATTCCAGAAATATAATTATAAACGAGTCTCTTACATATGTACCTTAAGTATGTATACAAACTCAATGAGAGGTGCAAACTTGTTTTAGCAGGGTAAGCGCCACCCTCTTAATCATTTTGCTTGTCCTTTTCTAAACCCTTTCCAACTCTACAATATCTTTTTTGAGGTGAGACAACCTTAACTTCACAGTACTCCAAATTATGGTTCCCACCATAAGGAAACTCTGAGCTGAACCCAAACTGAAACTGTACCAACATTCGGCATGTGATGTTATCCAACGTGGAATGAACAAAAGTCACAGCTGGAAGCGAGGTGGGGGCCTTCCTGCTATTGAGAGAGGAAAGAAAGATATGCTGTGGAGCCATAAGAATCCCTGCCCTCGTGCTTTCCTGCAGACAACAGCCTGGACGGCCCTCAAAGAGAAACCTTTTCCATAAACAGGAGCACCTGGCCTAAGTGGAGGCGCAAACCACATAAGATGCAGGAGTCCAGTGACTGGAGCTCCCAAAGCCCGCCTTTTTTAACCTTAAATGCAGGTGTGGCATTTAATCCAGATCTGATTGGAGCAAGGACAGCAGAGGAGCAAGGTGAAACATTTCCTTTGCAACATTTTTCCAATTAAATTGCTTGTGGTTATTATTCTGTATTAAGTTACATACCGTTTGCTTGCCGAAAAGGCTTCTCACAGATAGTTATTAAACCTTCTCTGAAGATTATTAGACCTTCAGTAGAAAAAAATTATCCTCCTTTCCCCCATTCTAATATCAGCTTGAGTAACAATTGTTTGTGGGGGGAGGTTGAAACCCCTTTCCCCTTGCAACCCTTCTCCAATCAGTTTCTGAAACACACACTATGGCTCTTTTAAGGTACTTAGGAAGCTGCCTTATACCAATTCAAAGCACAGGTCCCTCTAATTTAGTAAGTGTGGCAAGAAGATTCAAGGACAATCAAATAAACATTTAAACATTTATGTGTAGTATAATATAGCGCGCGCGCGCACACACACACACACACACACTTATTTGCAGAATATGGATAGGTATCTTTTCAAAATGAGAGCAAGAGCATCAAGTGATACTGAGGACCATCCTAGTTCTGATCGAGAATCACCATTCATATAGAGTGCTGGAGAGGCCCGTTTTATTCAACACCAGTAGCAAGCCCAAGCAAACCTCCAAAGAAGGACGTTTGTCAACAATATATGGATAGCTATCTGAGTCTCAGTTTCAGGTGGAATGGAGATGACAATGTCCCTCAGCCTATAGGTTTGATCTGTGGTAAGAAGCTTTCAAAGTCCAATATGGGCCCAAACAAGATGAAAAGATGTCAAAATATGGAAATCTGGCAAACATGAATATTTTGAAAGGCTTTTGGAACAGCAGAAATGCCAACGATCATATGTAAAAAAACGAGTAAAAGATAAGATGTAAATATATTCAGTGTGGTGAGAGCAAATTTTTATTCTGAAAGTGTGGCCCAGAGAAAATAGTTTGAGAACTACAGTCCTACACTGACTGGCAGTGACTCTTACTCAACAGAAGGAGTTCCTATATTCTGGGTGCAGACTAGGAACATTTCCTACCTAAGATGTCAAGGATCAGACCTGAGACAGACCCAGCCCAATACATTTTGCTGCTTGAGGCAAAACAGAAAATACCCCTCCCCCACCGCCACTCTCGCTGCTGCCTCCTCCTCTGCTGCCCCTGGAATATTGTGTCCAATTCTGGGCACCATAATTTAAGAAGCATGTTGACAAGTTGGGACGTGTGCAGAGGAGGGCGACCAAGATGATCAAGAGTTTGGAAACCAAGCCTGATGAGGAACAGTTGAAGGAGCTGGGTATGTTCAGCCTGAAAAAGAGGAGACTGAGAGGAGAAAGGAGAGCCATCTTCAAATATCTCAAACGCTGCCACGTGGAAGAGGGAGCAAGCATGTTTTACCCCGCTCTGGAGGGAAGGACCCAACCAATGGCTTCAAATTGCAAGAAAGGAGATTCCGACTAAACCTCAGGAACAACTTTCTGACAGTAAGAACTGTGACAGTGGAACCGACTCCCTCGGGAGGTTGTGGACTCTCCTTCCTTGGAGGTTTTCAAGCAGAGGCTGGATGGCCATCTGTCAGGGATGCTTTAGCTGAGATTCCTGCATTGAAGGAGGTTGGACTAGATGACCCTCGGGGTCGGTCCCAACTCTTAAATTCTGTGACTCTATTTTTATTTGTTTGTTTGTTTATAAATATTTTTTATTGGTTTCTACACATATTTTCCAGCATATCATCCTTTTAAACATCATTTCAAAATCTTTGGCTATCACAGCCTTAGATTTCCTTCAACCTCAACTGATGGTTTTCTAAAATCCTTTCTAATTATGCATTTTGTTACTACAGTTATTGCTATAAATTCAAATCTTAATACCTATTCTTAGTTCTTTTCACAATAATTTATATATTATTCCTTACAAAACTTCTTTTAACCCTACAAGTAATGTCAATTGGTTACAGTTACTTTCCAAATACGTTGAAAGCTTCTTCCATTCCTTTAGGAAAGTCTGGTCCTGCTGGTTCTGGATTTTCCCGGATAATCTCGCCATCTCAGCATAGCACTGGGCTACAGCCCTTCCCTGCTGTGAAAATACGGGTAACAATAGGAACATTAGCTGTTCCAATAATTGATGGCCTGTGCAGACTGACCATCCGATCCACCAACGATCCAAATTTTGTTTAGAAATCCTTTGCCAAGTCTTTGCAGTGGCGGAGCAAGCCGATCGGGCACCTGGGGCAGCGCATGTGCCACCGCGTCACTCCCAGGAGAGACGCGTGGCTTGGGCGCACTGCAGGCCCTGCAGTGAGTGCCGCCCAGCATTTTGTCATCCCCCTCAGTGGTGACACCCAGGGTGCACCGCGCCCCCTTCCTCCGCTCCTGAGCCTTTGCATCTTTTAGCTTTGTAATACAAAGAAAACACTGCCATTTCATTTGAAAGATATTTGAGTATCATACAGGCAGGTGATGCTCCTGCCCACAAAAGTTTGGAGGTAGATGTTCAAGTACCACATGTTACCCAAGTGCCCTGTGGTTATTGTGTCTTATGAGCTGGAGTGGGAGAGACGCTTGAACGATTTCCTGAGAAAGCAGCTGTGGGTGGAACTTTTGTACCTACTCAGTGAATGTGGATTCCAAACAGCTCTTGCCAGAACTACTCATTGCTCTCAGCATCACACATACTGTCCCCACCCTGATTGCACATGGTCTCCTACCGGGATCCCAATGACCAAAAAGACACCCTGTTGCTACCAGCAGAAATATACCACCCTCCCCACATTCTTCCTGAATTGGAGCTATCCAAAATACGTTGGGTATTGAGGAGATGCCCCCATTGCTGTCTGTTGCTTCTTTCTGTGATGCATTCTTGTCTCCCTTGGAAGGTTCTGCAAATGCCAGCCTAAGCCAAAGGGTGTTGCTTTCCTTTCACAAGTGGCCAGCTAATTAGATAAATTCCTGGGATTCCTGGAGGCTGACGGGGAGCCGAGCTGGACTCCTCTCCATGCCTGCAAATGCAGGCCAACTTGCTGAGAGAGAGCGGAGTTGGTGGCTCTGTGCCCCCGGCTGCCCAGGAAGTCTGCCTGGCTGCCCCCACTCCCGGGCCCGGCGGGGAAGGGGCAGCGCGGGGCGCCGGGTTTGAGGGAAGGGCGCTCGCCCTCCCTGCGGAACTTCGCCAGCCGACCCAAGATGGATGCCTTTCTTTATTAAATCCCGGCAGGCATTTGAGTCGCATTCTGGGTTGATCCCGTGTGTTATTTCTTTGCTTCTGCTCTCCGCGGCCCCTTTAAGCGCCGGCCCGGCCCGCCTCCTGGCGCCTCTCTGCCAAGGCGGAAGCCGCGGCGGGCCCGAGAAGGAAGGCCGGCGGGACGGAGGGAGGCCTGGGCCATGGCGCCGCCTCTGCAGCCCCCGGGCAGCTGCGGACCCTGGGAGATGCGCGAGCGCCTCGGCACCGGCGGCTTCGGCAACGTCCTCCGCTGGCAGAACCAGGTGAGGGGAAGAGGCGCGCACGCATTCACACGCACACGTGTACCCCGCGCGCGGCTCTCGGGCCTGCGACACGGAGAAGGGGCGCCTCGGAGGCCTCCGGGATTCGCTTCTGGAGTCCGGCGGCCGCGTCCAGGTCCGCCTTTAGAAAGAGCCCCTCGGGAGGCGGCGGCTTCGCTGCCCGGGAAAGGAGAAGACTTTGCTCTGCCGCTTCGCCTCCGCTTGGCTTCCGTGGCAGCCTCCCCCCCCCCCCCCCCGGGCAGGAGGCCACCTCGGCAAACTCCAGAGGTATATTAAAAAGAGGCAACTTGGCCCGATGTGTCATCCACAATTATGTCCTGGGTGCGATGAAATGGGCAGGTGGCACTTGAAGGCGCCATTTGCCTCTCGTTGCGCTTTTAGGGCGGCGCTGCTGTGCCAAGACATCCAGGATCCCCTTTCACCTAAAACAGCAGTGTGGATCCTGAGTGTGTGGACTCTCGGAGTTTTAGGAGATCTTTCACATGGCAACATTTCTACCTGCAAGGTATTTCCACATAGGATTTTTAATAAAAAAAACCCCGGCTGCAGATAGATGGTACATAAAACATAGGAAGCAGCCCTGCAGCAAGTTGGAGTATTGGTCTGCCTGGCTCTGTGGGCGCTTGAGTGGCAGCCGCTCTTCAGGGCTGGAGACCAGAGCCTCCTTCCCAGCTCTGTCTGGAGATGCCGGGGATCAAGCCAGGGACATTCTGCATGCAAGGCAGCTGCTGCACCTCTGAGCTAAAGCCAATCGCCACACGTAATAATGGGTGTCACTTCTATGCGTGGGGTTACCAAAGGACGTACAGGGAGCATACCACCCTCATTTACAGATTCACACACCTCTGTGCGCATTCCACAAATAACTATGCCAAACAATGTCCAGTGCTGTTGGCTCCTTCCTAACTGCTCTGAGTCCGTGTTCTGTTCATTATCTCTGCAATAACTGCTCCAGCACTGGCTTCTGAAACAGGGCAAGTTAGTAAATTGACCAACAGTTGGCAGATTTATTACCGAGTAGATTGGCTTCAGTAACTTGTATGTGTGCATACACAACAAAAGGGCCATTTGTAAAATAATCCTGATAGAGTCTGCACTTGGTTTTCTCCTCAGAGAGCCAGTGTGGTGTAGTGGTTGAGAGCAGTGGACTCGTAATCTGGGGGACCGGGTTCGATTCCCCGCTCCTCCACATGCAGCTGCTGGGTGACCTTGGGCCAGTCCCACTTCTCTGAAGTCTCTCAGCCCCACTCACCTCACAGAGTGTTTGTTGTGGGGGAGGAAGGGAAAGGAGAATGTTAGCCGCTTTGAGACTTCTTAGGGCAGTGATAAAGTGGGATATCAAATCCAAACTCTTCTTCTTCTTCTCAGATTCATATAACAATGGCATAGGAATTTTGTAGCATCTGCAGCAGTACTAACACTGTCAGGGTTTTGAGAGTTTGAAGGTCAGAGCACTTGGTTCACATGAATAAACTCCCCCTTTTTTAACAGGAGAGTGGGGAAGAAATTGCTATCAAACAGTGTCGTCAGGAGCTCAGCCCACGCAACAGAGAAAGATGGTGCTTAGAAATACAAATCATGAAACGGTGAGCGGTATTGGAAAATGTGTGGCTTGTGTAAATATCATGGGCAGTGAATTTTGCCTTCTAGTAAAAGCATTTAACACCAGGATTTTAATCCTGTTTATTTACAGAGTTATCTTTTAGTTTGCCCCATCTTGAGAAGGAAGGTGTGGCAGCATTAACCCATTAAGCCAGGCTTTGGTTTTCCAAGTGAGGATGGGGAACGTCTGGTCCACAGGCCAAATTAGGCCCTGCACAGGTCCCAATCTGGTCCACAAGGCCATTTCCCCCAAAGTGTGCCCACCTGCCCAAGCCATATGTGGCATTAAGGGAAGCACAGGTAGAGACACACTGCAAAGGACAGCCAGGAGCCTTAAAGTGGCAAGTGACGTTTGCTGCCAGTACCAGTCAGCTGACTGACAGTGACAGCAGACCCCAGCGGACTGGCTGCACTAGGGAGTTGCAGATTGGATCTCTGCTCAACACGATGCTTCCTCCAAAGAGTTTAATATGCAGAATCTTCTTTCATGTTTTTGACTTCTTGATGAGAATGGTAAGGACATTGATTTTAAAAAGCTAAAAAAAACCCACCTCCTGCAACATGAAGCTCCAGGAGAATGTTTTAGAGCACACTGTCAGTTCACCTGGGGGGATTGTGGGGCCCAGCAGGAGGACCTGTTCTGAAGAATATGCTCCAGGATCTTTCTACACTCAAACGTTTCATGGTGGACATTCAGGAATTGCATAGCAAGACAGGCCAATGTAGAAAGTGTTTCTCAGAAAGTTAGAAAGCCACTGCTTAAAGGTAAAGTGAGAGATCCACCTGAGATCTTACTGTGTTTTCTTTTCCTCAGGCTAAACCACCCCAATGTGGTGGCTGCCCGGGATGTCCCAGAAGGGATGCAAAACCTTGCCCTGAATGACTTGCCATTGCTGGCTATGGAGTACTGCCAGGGAGGAGATCTCAGGAGGGTGAGTGAGGGGCGGAAAGGGGGGGGGAGAGACTGAGAAAATGGACTGGGTTTAATCAAACGGCTGCTCTGTATTCCCAGTCATAGTGAGGGCTTTGCCTGAGTTTGTGGCACAGAGGAGGAGCTTCATTCTTCTCAAATAATGTGCCACCCATTAGTGGTTTCTTCTGAAGTTATCATTTAAGAGATATTTATTATTAAGCTTACATACAAGGTACGAGTATCTGCAGGCAACAAGTGATAGGCAATTCCAAAGCCCTTGAGAGCAGGGATAGAGTGTTGGTGCTGTTTTATGCTTGAATGCCCACTGAGGCCTAGATAGTGGAGAGGCAGGTGGTCAAGACTTCCTCCACTGTAGGGAGGAAGCAGGAGGCCCTGAACATTCCTGGGAATCACAAGGGGGAGGGGAGCTGCTGCTGCGCTCAGGTCCGGCTTGCAGGCTTCTAGAGGCATTTGGTTGGCGGCCGCAGGAGAACAGAAGGCAGACCCAAATGGGCCGTCTGCCTGATCCAGCAGGACACTTTTTGTGAATTCTGCTTGAATACCTTCCTGCTGCAGTTGCCGTCTTGCTCCCAGAGAAGGTTGCTAGAAATATGTGGTTGGTTTCTGCCGGAGGGTAGAGAAACTGGGGAAAACAGGATGACAGAAGGACTGCTCTTATGTTCTTATGGGGAAAGAGGCAAATATGTTATTTGTTGCATTAAAAATTTGTATTATTCTACTTACATTACTTAAGAATGCAGGTGAAGGATAGCATGAGTGAAAGTTCCACTATATCATTTTTTCTGTGGAAAGCTACTTTGAAAAGTGTGTTCTTTTCCCTGATGTGGAGATATTGTGCCTTCAGGATAGCTCAGTTGGCTAGAGCGTGGTGCTGATAATCCCACCCCCTTGTTGCTATATGCTGATGACGCGGCCATCATCTCACGTTCCAGACCGGGTTTGAATTATCTGATGAGGAAATTATCTGATTACTGTTCTGGAAATGGTTTATCCATTAATTATGAAAAATCTAAACTTTTAGTCTTCGAAAGAAGATTTTCCCGGTCTAAATGGGTGCTGGATGGTCATAACCTTGAACAGATAAAATACTTCAGTTATCTAGGGCTCACATTCCATCATACAGGATCTTGGAAGCACCATTGGCAAACCTCCCTTCAAAAGGCGGAGATTACAAAGCTAGCCATACTCAGATTCTTCTTCACAAAGGGCGGCAAATATGTTCCAGCAGCCTTAAGGGTTTTCAACGCAAAGCCCGTTTCCCAACTCCTGTATTCAGCAAATGTCTGGCATAATGGGGACCTGCCAAAGCTAGATGGCTTTCAGGCAAAATTTCTACAATCTCTCCTGCAGGTACCCAACTGCATCCCCAACTCCGTACTTCTGTTAGAAGCTGGTGAATGCCCAATTTCAACTAAAGCGTGGTGGGCTGCCCTAAAACATTGGCTCAGGATTTCAATGTTTAACCTAGGGGGTTTGTACCAACACCTGACCAATGAGGAATTTGTCAGCAAATGGCAGAAAACCATGGCTAAAAAAGCCACCTCTATTGGTCTGTCTCCCCCCCAACTGTATTACTTGGGTTATGAAGGTGTCCAAAAGATTTTAAAGCAAAGATTATGGGATAATGCACACAGTGACATGCGATCTCGATCACACGCAGTCTGTAGTCAGCTGGCAGTAGGAGTACAATATGAGTATGTCTTTAAGTCAACATCTTACATTAAAAATCTGACAGTACCAAACTACCAAAGGCTTTTCACCAAAGCCAGACTAAATGTCTTTCCCTCTGCAGTGTTGGATGGTAGGTTGAGAGGAGTTCCCTACCAGGACAGACTTGGCTCGTGTGCTCAAGACATCAATTCCATAAAACATATTTTGCTGCATTGTGCAAAATATGAGCAGGCCAGGGCTGAACTGATACTACCCTTGCTGGTACCTTTCCCGGGAAAATCAGAGGCTCACTATGTCAGGTTCCTACTGTAAGACCGGACATATGCTAGAACGTTAGCAGCAGCAAAGTTTTTATGGGTGGTTGCAAGAACAAATGAGCCCTATATTCTAAACAAAATGCTTGTTTAACCTGGATGTAGGCTGTATGAATTGTGTATTGATTTGTAATGATTTGTTGGGTCTCTGGACCGTAATAATAATAATAATAATAATAATAATAATAATAATAATAATTTTTTATTTATACCCCGCCCTCCCCAGCCAAGGTCAGGCTCAGAGCGGCTTACAAGCAATAATAAAAACAAGAAGAATGATTACAACTTAAAAACAAAAATAAAACACAACATTAAAATAATGGAACATTAAAATATTAAAATGTAGCCTCATTGCAGGAGGAGAAGGAAAAGAAAAAAAGAAAGAGAGGGAGGGAGGGAATCAAATTGGCTCCAAGCCAAAGGCCAGGCGGAACAACTCTGTCTTACAGGCCCTGCGGAAAGAAATCAGATCCTGCAGGGCCCTGGTCTCATGAGGCAGAGCGTTCCACCAGGCTGGAGCCAGTGTTGAAAAGGCCCTGGCTCTGGTTGAAGCCAATCTAACTTCCTTAGGGCCTGGGACCACTAGGGTGTTGCTATTTATGGACCTTGAGGCTCTCCGTGGGGCATACCAGGAGAGGTGGTCCCGTAGGTACGAGGGTCCTAGGCCGTGAAGGGCTTTAAAGGTCAAAAGCAGCACCTTAAATCTGACCCTGTACTCCACCGGGAGCCAGTGCAGCTTGAAAAGCACTGGGTAAATATGCTCCCATGGCAAAGACCCCGTGAGAAGCCTCGCTGCAGCATTCTGTACCTGCTGGTGTTTCTGGGACAGCTTCAAGGGCAGCCCCGCGTAGAGCAAATTACAGTAGTCAAGCCTGGAGGTGACCGTCTCATGGATCACTGTGGCCAGGTCGGGGCGGGAAAGGTAAGGGACCAACTGCTTGATGCGGCGAAGGTGGAAAAATGTCGCCTTAAAGATTGATTGATTGATAATCCCAAGGCCTCAGGTACAATCCCCATCAGGGTGGATAAAAATCAATAACTTTTTAGACTTCCGGGTTAGCGCCATCGCCGAATGGCGGACTCCCTCCGAGCTCCGGAGGGAGTCTGCTCGGCAGGGGCTGGGTCCTACCGCGCCGGCGACGCGGGGACCCTTAAAAACCACGGGCACGGAGTCCGTGGACATGGGTGACTCGGCTTGCACCATTAGCGCCCTCCCGACTCGTGAAGGAGCCTTTTTAAAGGCTTCGGATCGGGTGCCGGGAGTGGCGTGGTGCTTTGAGTCCACTGCTTTCCTGCCGAGCGCAGCCGCATGCCATTCGGCGGAGAGCGCTGACTTCTTCTATTGAAAATTTGGACTATTAACAACAACCCGTGAGTAATTGGGAAACCGGGTTCAAAATTTTGGATTTGGCACGAGCGGGGCGATTTAAAAGGAAGTCAATCCCCCTATTGTAAACATTCCAAAACAAGGACTGGGTAACCAAGGTCCAAAGGGAAGTATGTCTTTGATAAAAATCATTAATTTCACGATGGGAAATTATAAGAAATGTGCTGGAGGAGAAGAGTGGAGGGTGAGAAGAAAAATGCAACCCCCCCCCTGGGAACCGGGGCGATTCGTGGAGCTTGGTGAAGAGAGACGGAGACTTTGACAGCTGTCAAAGTGGCTGTCAAAGCTGGAGAATATAAAGAGGACTTTACGAGGACCTTGCTGGTTAATTTTGTTACAATTTGCTATAATATGGATATAAACTGTTGGAAAATAAGCAACAATTTGACTTTTGGATTAGAGGATACAAAGTTATTACAATCCCCTAGAGGGGTTTCGGGATACTACAAGAACGGTCGTAAGTGGAAAAATACCCTGGGATTCGCACAGGATTTGTTATCTTCTGGGAAAGCTGCAAAACTGAAAGAATATTTTGTCTACAGAGGAAGACAATGGAATTTTTATTGAAGAAAGAAAGGGACTGGACGTAAGTTTTTGTTCCTGAATAACAAACCTCTGCAGAGACACTAGATTTCTGAATTAGAAAGTTTTAGCAGCTGAACAGGACAAGAAACCTGAGAAAGTGAGGAATAAGAAGAACAAAGGACTGATTACGACACGGAAAGAACAACGGGAGGAGTGGTAAAGATCAAGGAAATTAAAGGCCTTTGTTAGATTGGACATTTGAAGTCAAATATTATTTAAATTAATAAACTAAAAGAAAACCGGCAAGATTGAAATGAGACTTCCAAGCTGATAACGTATAGACTGATGGACATGGGGAATTCAAACCGGGGAAGGGGGGGGGGGAGATTTGAAATCCAAAGGCTGTGTAACTATTTTTGAATTTTTCTATATCTCTTATTTTCTATTTCTTTACATAACTTACGCATGTTATTTTACTTTGATCGGACGTGTTTAAAAAAAGGGAATTTGTGGAAGGAACTGGGGTGGATCTTGGGGAAAATCTTTTCTCTTTTTCTGTTAATGATGTGGGACGGTGGTAAGATTTGTACAATTCAATCTGGATAGTGGGTTAAACAAATTAAGCTTTAAATTGGGAGTGAGAGCTTGTAGAAACAAATTAAGGAAAGGGGAATACAATTAGGTGGGGGGGAAGGGGGAGAACAAGAAAGTAGGCAAAGAAAGTAAGGTTTTAAATATCTTTTTCTTTTGTCTTTTTCTTTGTATTTTTATATTTTTGGAAACTTTAATAAATATGATTTAAAAAAAAAAAAAAATCAATAACTTTTTAAAGAAAATTTTTAAAAATTGATTTTTTTATTTAAATCAGATTTTCTTGATTTAAATCAGATTTTTTAAAATAAAATGCTTTTGGAGGAAATTTTTCTCTAAAGAGAGTTTCTATTTAAATTACATTGTAGTCCAAAGGCTATTCATCAAGAAATAAGGATTTGTTTTAAGTTTTTCGTGTGTGCGAAAACTCAGTCTAAGTTGGGTTTTTTTTTTAAAACCGTTTAACCACATAATGGTTAACACATATGGAAGCTCAACAGAAACCTTTCTCATGTCCTCTTGTCACACCTTTCAGCACCTGAATCAGCTTGAGAACTGCTGTGGCCTGCGGGAGAGAGCTATCCTTATCTTGCTGTCAGACATTGGTAAGTGACCAGAGGTGGCCCTGTGGGGAGGTAAGGAGCCTCAGATGGTAGGTTTTGAGTGGAATTAAGGAGGTGGGTGGCGCTGTGGGCTAAACCACAGAGCCTAGGACTTGACGATCAGAAGGTCGGCGGTTCGAATCCCCGCGACGGGGTGAGCTCCCGTTGCTCGGTCCCTGCTCCTGCCAACCTAGCAATTCGAAAGCACATCAAAGTGCAAGTATATAATAGGTACCGCTCCGGCGGGAAGGTAAACGGCATTTCCGTGCGCTGCTCTGGTTTGCCAGAAACGGCTTAGTCATGCTGGCCACATGACCCGGAAGCTGGACCTAATGGTCAGGGGTCCCTTTACCTTTACCTTAAGGACAGCATAGTGAGATGCAAACACCTGTCAGGGAACAAGCGCACTGAAATGAACAGGTGTGTGCAAGAACTCCTCATTTCAATGAGGATTTTGTGCCCCCTGGGTGGTGTGGCTGCAGATGCCTATCAGATTTTATGTCTCGGGTACTATCTCATCTTTCGAATATGTCCTTATCAAAAAAAAGTATGTTCTCATACATGCAAGGGCTTTTTCTTCTATCCCTTGGCAAGAGTAGGAGTTAGAAATCAGGGCAGGGCAAAACAGATTCTCAGGAGAAATGTGCTCTAGCAGCTGGTCTGGATGGCCCCAGCTGTTAGGCTACTGCACCTTGTGCCTGTGTGTTCTTGCTGCTCCACGCGAACTCTGCTGCTCCACTTCTAATGATAGACGCTGCACTTCTGGTGCTCTGAGCAGGGCCAGATTGAGGTTTGATGAGGCCCTAAGCTACTGGAGGTCATGGGGCCCTTTATATGTCCAGCTGTCCTTTGTCAAAAACAAATTGTCTGTTTTTTGTGTTGAATATATGCTATATGGTAATTTATGGACCTAATAGGTATCTAAAGCCATTTGCCACTGTTGCTGTATGTAAGTTTTATTTTATTTGTTTTTTACCTTATGTTTTGGAAATGCACATCCAGGTTTTTTTCCCTTTAATTTTTTGGGGGCCTCCAAGAGAGTGGGGCCCTAAGCTATAGCTTGTTTAGCTTATACGTAAATCCGGCACTGGCTCTGAGCCTTTACAGTGCTGCTGCTGCTTTTCTGAGCTAACGACAGAATGCACTAATTGATTCATACGGATAGATTTTGGTGATGACAATACATTCCTCTCTCTTTCCCTCTTTCTCCACCCCCTTCCGTCTCAGCCTCTGCTCTCAGATACCTTCACGAGAACAGGATCATCCATAGAGACCTGAAACCAGAAAACATTGTCCTTCAACAAGGAAAAGAGAGGGTGGGTGATGCTCTTCTGTTAAGCTTCCCCACCTGTCACCACTAAGGCAGGGTGCTGGGCAGAGTTGTATCCCTCCTGCCAAAGGCGCTGTTTGAGAAGACTCAGTGAATAGGGGTTGGGTGTGCTTCGGCTAAGACACTGATCTAGCATAGTTACTTACAGAAGAAAAGACTCAGCTGGCTGGAGGTTTGTAGTGATGTGAGTTGCTTTCCTGCAGCATGTTCTGGTGGTCTTGCTCAAATCACTTTGAATTTGTTGATGTGCAGACATCCCTTTGCAGTGCAGCTGCTCTCTGGTTGGGGCACTCTGGTGTGAATCATGGGGTCTGGTATATGGTGGGCTGTGGCAGGTTGGTCCTGCTTTTCTGTTTGGGACAGTTGTCGGCTGTAGGGCTTAGTCCCGTTCAGCTCTGAAGGGCTGGCTGTTTTTTGGGAACCCTCTCCAGACTTGATCACACTACTTAACAATACTTTCGCAGTCCTCGATTCTTCCAAGCACAGAGATAGGATGAATGGGATATTGTGCTGGGTCCAGAGCTGACCCAACTCTGTGCTTGTGCTATATATTTATCAGCCATTTCGGTGTTGTTTTTTTGCCAAAGCTCTCAGGTTCTAGTTCTGTTTACCACAACTGCCCTCTCTGCTTTCTCTCAGCTAATACACAAGATCATTGATTTGGGGTATGCCAAAGAGCTGGATCAAGGCAGCCTTTGCACTTCCTTCGTTGGGACATTGCAGTATCTGGTAAGGATTTGCAAGTGCAAATAGCGTGCTTGCACCCAGGAGGGCACAATTAGGCAGGAGGAGTGGAAGCAGCACATTAAAGGCGGCAACAAATGGATGGGAAGCTGAGCTGTTAGGAACCAGGAAGCCAAAGCCAGTATCCCGAAGAAGCATTTCAAATGAGTTGCAAAAATGTTGCTTTCCTGGGTCCGACCAAGGGTCCATCTGGACACTTCTAAGTGGGACAAGGGAGGTGATGGCCTTTCAGTACTGTTTGTCCCCAGGATCTGATCCTTGGAGGTATATTGCCTCTCTATACATGGCAGTTCCGTTTCGCTCTCATGGCCAGTAGCCAGTGACAGACCTTGAACCGATATGAACCCATTTTTATACTGTAAACTGCCCTGTGATCCTTGGATAAAGGGTGATATATAAATGTAATTAATAAGAAGAAGAATAGATTTTTTTGTGTTTTTTACAAAAAAAATCTGTCCAAGCTAGTATCTATCGCCGCATCTTGTGTTAGTGAATTCCACAACAGATTTACATTGTGTCATGGAGCCCTTCCTGTCCTTAGTCCTCAACCTGGCCATTGCTGTTTTAAAATTTATTTAAAATGCTATTTTAAATAAAATCTGTCTTAAGGAAGTAGAGGGGAGGGATCATATCTCAAGTTCTCTCTTGGTTCTAGGGAGCCTTTTTAGGAAGCTGGAGCTTGTGGGGTGTAGGATTGCATTCCACCTAGGAGTGAGTCTCATTGGACTCAAAGGGGTTTGCTTCTGAGTAGACAGGTAAAGGGTTGCACTGCTAGCCTTTTCCTGGTTCTCAATGTTTCAGGCCCCGGAACTTCTGGAGCAGCAGAAATACACAGTGACTGTGGATTACTGGAGCTTTGGCACATTGGCCTTTGAGTGTATCACAGGCTTCCGACCTTTTCTGCCCTCCTGGCAGCCAGTGCAATGGTGAGTAACTCTGGCTCCATTGTGAGGTTCTTAGGAAATGTCCTTTTCACTTGAAAACTGAGAATACAACGGTTAGTATTTTTCTTGGCAGGGAGGTGAGAGGAGGAGTTAATGCTGATCAGGATGAGCTGTAAGAAATAACTTAATAATTTCTATGTTGTTGTTGTTTAGTCGTTTAGTCATGTCCGACTCTTCGTGACTCCCTGGACCAGAGCACGCCAGGCACTCCTGTCTTCCACTGCCTCCCGCAGTTTGGTCAGACTCATGTTTGTAGTTTCGTGAACAGTGTCCAATCATCTCATCCTCTGTCGTCCCCTTCTCCTTGTGCCCTCCATCTTTCCCAACATCAGGGACTTTTCCAGGGAGTCTTCTCTTCTCATGAGGTGGCCAAAGTATTGGAGCCTCAGCTTCAGGATCTGTCCTTCCAGTGAGCACTCAGGGCTGATTTCCTTAAGAATGGATACGTTTAATGTTCTTGCAGTCCATGGGACTCTCAAGAGTCTCCTCCAGCACCATAATTCAAAAGCATCAATTCTTCGGCGATCAGCCTTCTTTATGGTCCAGCTCTCACTTCCATACATTACTACTGGGAAAACCATGGCTTTTACTATACGGACCTTTGTTGGCAAGGTGATGTCTCTGCTTTTTAAGATGTTGTCTAGGTTTGCCATCGCCTTTCTCCCAAGGAGCAGGCGTCTTTTAATTTCGTGACTGCTGTCACCATCTGCAGTGATCATGGAGCCCAAGAAAGTAAAATCTCACACTGCCTCCATTTCTTCCCCTTCTATTTGCCAGGAGGTGATGGGACCAGTGGCCATGATCTTCGTTTTTGATGTTGAGCTTCAGACCATATTTTGCGCTCTCCTCTTTCACCCTCATTAAAAGGTTCTTTAATTCCTCCTCACTTTCTGCCATCAAGGTTGTGTCATCTGCATATCTGAGGTTGTTGATATTTCTTCCAGCGATCTTAATTCCGGCTTGGGATTCATCCAGCCCAGCCTTTCTCATGATGAATTCTGCATATAAGTTAAACAAGCAGGGAGACAATATACAGTCTTGTTGTACTCCTTTCCCAATTTTGAACCAATCAGTTGTTCCATATCCAGTTCTAACTGTAGCTGCTTGTCCCACATAGAGATTTCTCAGGAGACAGATCAGGTGATCAGGCACTCCCATTTCTTTAAGAACTTGCCATAGTTTGCTGTGGTCGACACAGTCAAAGGCTTTTGCATAGTCAATGAAGCAGAAGTAGATGTCTTTCTGGAACTCTCTAGCTTTCTCCATAATCCAGCGCATGTTTGCAATTTGGTCTCTGGTTCCTCTGCCCCTTCGAAATCCAGCTTGCACTTCTGGGAGTTCTCGGTCCACATACTGCTTGAGCCTTCCTTGTAGAATTTTAAGCATAACCTTGCTAGCATGTGAAATGAGTGCAATTGTGCGGTAGTTTGAGCATTCTTTGGCACTGCCCTTCTTTGGGATTGGGATGTAGACTGATCTTCTCCAATCCTCTGGCCACTGCTGAGTTTTCCAAATTTGCTGGCGTATTGAGTGTAGCACCTTAACAGCATCATCTTTTAAAATTTTAAATAGTTCAGCTGGAATATCATCACTTCCACTGGCCTTGTTATTAGCAGTGCTTTCTAAGGCCCATTTGACTTCACTCTCCAGGATGTCTGGCTCAAGGTCAGCAACCACACTACCTGGGGGATACGAGACATCCATTTCTTTCTGGTATAGTTCCTCTGTGTATTCTTGTCACCTCTTCTTGATGTCTTCTGCTTCTGTTAGGTCCTTTCCACTTTTGTCTTTTTTTATGGCAATCTTTGTATGAAATGTTCCTTTCATATCTCCAATTTTCTTGACCAGATCTCTGGTTTTTCCCATTCTATTGTTTTCCTCTATTTCTTTGCATTGCTCGTTTAAGAAAGCCTTCTTGTCTCTCCTTGCTATTTTTTGGAAATCTGCATTCAATTTCCTGTATCTTTCACTATCTCCCTTGCATTTTGCTTGCCTTCTCTCCCCCGCTATTTGTAAGGCCTCGTTGGACAGCCACTTTGCTTTCTTGCATTTCCTTTTAATTGGGATGGTTTTAGTTGCTGCCTCCTGTATAATGTTATGAGCCTCCATCCATAGTTCTTCAGGCACTCTGTCCACCAAATCTAAATCCTTAAACCTGTTCCTCACTTCCACTGCGTATTCATAAGGGATTTGATTTAGATTGTATCTTACCGGCCCAGTGGTTTTTCCTACTTTCTTCAGTTTAAGCTTGAATTTTGCAATAAGAAGCTGATCATCTGAGCCACAGTCAGCTCCAGGTCTTGTTTTTGCTGACTGTATAGAGCTTCTCCATCTTTGGCTGCAGAGAATATAGTCAATCTGATTTCGATGCTGCCCATCTGGTGATGTCCATGTGTAGGGTCGTTTCTTGTGTTGTTGGAAAAGAGTGTTTGTGATGACCAGCTTGTTCTCTTGGCAGAACTCTATTAGCCTTTGCCCTGCTTCGTTTTGAACTCCAAAGCCAAACTTGCCAGTTGTTCCTTTTATCTCTTGACTCCCTGCTTTAGCATTCCAATCCCCTATAATGAGAAGAACATCCTTCTTTGGTGTCATTTCTAGAAGGTGTTGTAAGTCTTCATAGAATTGGTCAATTTCAGTTTCTTCAGCACCAGTAGTTGGTGCATAAACTTGGATTACTGTGATGTTAAAAGGTCTGCCTTGGATTCGTATCGAGATCATTCTATCATTTTTGAGATTGCATCCCAGTACAGCTTTTGCCATTCTTTTGTTGACTATGAGGGCCACTCCATTTCTTTTATGGGATTCTTGCCCACAGTAGTAGCTATGATGGTCATCCGAACTGAATTCACCCATTCCCGTCCATTTTAGTTCACTGATGCCCAGGATGTCAATATTTATTCTTGCCATCTCATTTTTGACCACATCCAACTTACCCAGGTTCATGGTTCTTACATTCCAGGTTCCTATGCAGTATTTTTCTTTACAGCATTGGACTTTCCTTTCGCTTCCAGGCATATCCGTAACTGAGCGTCCTTTCGGCTTTGGCCCAGCCGCTTCATCAGCTCTGAATCTACTTGTACTTGTCCTCCGCTCTTCCTCAGTAGCATGTTGGACGCCTTCCGACCTGAGGGGCTCATCTTCCAGCGTCATATCTTTTATATGCCTGTTGTCTTTGTCCATGGAGTTTTCTTGGCAGGGATACTGGATTGGCTTGCCGGTTCCTGCTCCAGGTGGATCACGTTTGGTCAAAACTCTCCACTATGACCTGTCCATCTTGGGTGGCCCTGCACGGCATAGCTCATAGCTTCTCTGAGTTATTCAAGCCCCTTCGCCACGGCAAGGCAGTGATCCATGAAGGGGAATAATTTCTATAGCTGTGTATAAAAAGAGGCACGTTTTGCATCTGAGAGGTGAGCCTGGCTCCAGCTTCAAATAACATGTCTTGGCAGCAACCAAGATTTCCTCACCTGTCTCTGGTGGATGTCTTCTTTCTTCTTGCCATACTGGTTTTATTCACTATTACATTTGCGACTTCTGATTTAAACTGTGGCCCTCCAGGTGCCATTGGAGGCAGGAGCTGGTGGGAGTTATAGTTCAACAGCACCTGGAGGACCACGGGTTCCCCATCCATGGTTTAAATGTATAATTGTACAATCATATGGTGTCTGATTAAAAACAAAACAAAATCCGAACAGTCTTAGTTTTTTAAGCTGAAAATCTACTCCAGAGGCTGGAGAGAAGGGTGCTCATTATGTCGCAGGTGGCAAGCCAGGTGGTCTTCTTCACAGCACCATCGGCTTCAGACGGAGAGAACCTTTCCTCCAGTTCTTAGACACAGTCCTCAGAGACAATTCTCTGTGTGGTAATGAGTGTGATTAGATGTATTTATTTCATTAACGCACCGACTGTTTGATTGTAACAAAACCTCGAAGTGGTTTCCAAAAATAAAACATCGCAATTGTCAATAAAAGACCGCTGAAAATAGATATTTAGAAAACATTCAGAACTACTGAAAATCAACAGTAAGCTAAAAACAGATTAAAACGCATGTAGCTTTTACGTGTCTGGGTGGCTTGATGAAAAAAATGTTTGAAGCAGGTGCTGGAAGAAGTGCAGTGAAGACACCTGCCTGGTGCCAGGAGGCAGGGAGCGGCAGACTCTCAAGTGCTGCCACACAAAAATGCGGAATGGATATTATTTGGTAGCTGCAGCAGTGCTAGTTCTGCAGATCAGAGCAGTCAAGTGGGCACATGAAGGGTCAGGCGATCCCACGAGTAAACGGGTGCCGAGCTGTTAAGGGCTTTATATTCTAAGAGTGACACATTGAACTTGGCCCAGTAGCAAATGGGCACTGAGCAGAGCTGTACTATTTTGACAAGGCCTCGTTCCTGTCAACAATTGTGCCTCAGCATTCTGAAATAATTGCAGCTTCCTCATCACCACATAGAGTGCCCTGTAGTGATCCAATCTGGAAGACACCACTGCTTGGACTTCTGGGGTCAAGGTATGGCTTAGCGTGACCAGAAAGGGCTTGGGGAGCTCTGGGCTCTTCCTCTGGAGTGGCCACAAGGGGCAGTCTGAAAGCTTCTGCTTCCATTTTAGCTTCACCACAGCTTGCCTTTTCTTCCAGGCAAATTGGTTAATGTTTTGTATGGCTGGTTGAGGTAAGCCATCCTCATAAACTCTGGTTTGATGTTGGCATGTTTCAGTTAACCAGTTTGTGTGGGTTTGGATGACACTGCAAGCTGTGATTAATTTAAAATGGAATCAAAAGCTCCTAAATTCTTCCTCTGCTGTAGCAAAAGGCCTTGGTGCAGTTGTAAGGGTAAGCTAAAGTCTGAACCAGCCCAATGTGTGCTTCTTCTTAGGCATGCAAAAGTCCGGCAGAAAAGTGAGCTGGATATTGTTGTCTATGAAGACTTGTCGGGAGAAGTGAAATTTTCTAGCAAGCTGCCACACCCCAACAATCTGAACTGGTAAGGAACGACTGACACCTCAAGGAAAACTCGGTTGCCCATTTTGCAGGCTGGCTGGGACTTTCCTTGTTTCTGGTTCTGCAACTCTCAAATCACAGTTATGAACTGACAGCAATTTATGCAAATGAGTTGTTGTTAAGAAACTTCCACTGCTTATTTTATGACTGGTCAACCAGGACTTGAGGAATGTATTTAGAGTCAAAAAAGGCGAATGCTATTCTATACAGAAGTATGGTGTCCAGATCAAGGGAAGTAATAGTCCCACTTGTCCACACCTGGAATACTGTGTCCAATTCTGGGCACCACAATTTAAGAAGGATGTTGACAAGCTGGAACATGTGCAGAGGAAGGTGACCAAGATGATCCAGGGTCTGGAAACCAAGCCTTATGAAGAACGGTTGAAGGAGCTGGGTATGTTCAGCCTGAAAAAGAGGAGACTGAGAGGAGATATGATAGGAAGAAGAGTTGGCTTATTTATTGTCGTTCAGTCTTGCCCTCCCTCTAAGAGGCTCAGAGTGAGGTTCTGTTCCCTGTGGGGCAAGTTAGGTGAGTGAATGTTTTGTCCAAGGCCATCCATTGAGTCTTGTAGCTAAGCAGAGGTTTTAACTTGGGTTTTCCTTGCTCCGAACCCCACATCTACCATATTTTTCGCCCTATAGGACTCACTGGCCCATAGGACGCACTTATTTTTTTTTGGCGGGGGGGGAAATAAAGGGGGGGGGAAATTATTCCCCCCCCCAGCCCCAAAGAGCAAAGAAGCCATGACAGCGAGCGGGATGGATCCCGCTCGCTTTCCTGGCTTCATTCCCCCGACCCCAGCCCCCAAAACGGGTCCAAGAGCGATGGCGAAGCTGCACGCAGCTTCGCCATCGCTCCCGGAGCTTGCCGGGTTGGGGGGATAGCTTCCTGAAGCCTGGAGAGTGAGAGGGGTCAGTGCGCACTGACCCCTCTCGCTCTCCAGGCTTCAGCAAAAGCCTGCATTCGCCCCATAGGATGCACACACATTTCCCCTTCATTTTTGGAGGGGAAAAAGTGCGTCCTATAGGGCGAAAAATACGGTAGCAATTTATGCAGCAACCAACAACAATTATAATTAAAACATACCACCATCAATGCATACTTTCATTTTTTGAATAACATTTGTAGGGGGAAAGGATCCCTGCCCCAAAAAGCTTACTAGTTAATTTGAGGGAATTGGGGAGGCGGGAGTCACATGGGATCCATCCTGTTGTTAAGGGTCCCATGAATGGAAGCCCTGGAGAGAGAATAGCAAGTCTGCAGAATATGTTATGTCTCTTAAACATAACTTTTAGGACTCTTCTCTGCAGAAAAGATGTTTGACTCATCCCCCTGCAGCCCACCTCAGCATTTTCTTCATTCCAGTGCTTTCTTTTTCCTGCTTTCCTTCAGTGTTTTGGCTGAGCGGCTGGAGAAATGGCTGCAGCTGATGCTCCAATGGCATGCGCGGCAGAGAGGCACTGACCCCACATATGGCCCCAATGGTTGTTTCAAGGCTTTGGATGATATATTGAATTTAAAAGTAAGTGTTATTAATGGGGGGGTGCCTGTAGATTTCGCTTTATTTCCTTTAGATGTGACATTGCAGAAAATAGGGAATAATCTAAAGTGGTTTATTGGAGCAGTTGTGGTACAGAAACTTCTCTTGCTGCAAAATGGGCACCAGGAGTTCTGGACACATGGCACCACTTTCGTGCCAGTTGCAGTGGCTGTTGCTGCACTCCCAATTTGAAGAGCTGATGTTAACATTTAAGGCCATAAATGGTTTGGAGCTGAATTACTGAAAGAATTTCCACTCCTATAAAACCCCATAATCAAAGTCTATGCTTGAGGTCCTTCTTGTGTGTCTGCTGGTGAAATCGATTTGGCTGGTTGGTGAGCACCCAAGACAAGGTCATGGCCTTGCAGAATTTATTCCACTTAATATTCATTTTGCTCCTTCAGTGTTGGCATTCAGGGAGGCCCTAAAAGCTTTTCGTTTTACTCTTGCCTTTCCTTCACAAAATTTTGGTGATTCAGTTTCCCTCATGCCTTATTTTTGTCTGTATCCATTCAGTGTTTCAAATTCCGCCTGAAGCTCTATTATTATCTACGTCACTTGGTGTGAGCTTGATACAGTATATAGCGTACTATATAATTGCTCAAATAAATTATATGTGTACGCATTTTCTGTTTTTCTGAAAGGTAATGATATTTTTATTTACTCAGTGCCACCAATTAGCTAAACTGACAAGTTTTTATTAACTTTTAAAAATTTATTTGTTGAGAGAGTTGCATTACTGTATTCAGTATATTATATTACAGAGTAATGTATCAAATATTAGGTTTGTTTTTGTTTTTACTGTGCAATACGTTTATCAGAGATTTTCTTTGGAAAGAGGCATGACAAATATTTAAATATAGATAAGTATGAAAACATTTTAGTGGCAGTTTCACAGCTTTGCTGAAGTAGGTTTGAAATTTCCCTATAAGCCACTTAGTGTCCAAAGATACATTTAGTTTTCTGGCTGATGCAGAGAAAGGGAGAGAAACTAGTCATGTAGATTACTATATGGTGCTGTGCTCCATCTGGCTGCACCGCCTCAGAATGCAGGTGGGAAATGGCTTGTTTGGGCCAAAAAAATTCCCTATGCATGGAGTCCCAGAATCTGAATTGCTTTGAAGCAGAATTTACCCCTGCCGATTATCCTTTCTTTTACTCTGGCAGAGAGGGTGGTTTTGCTCTTGGTGGCCTTTATTTCTGGACAAATTCTCAAACTGGAGCAAGTTGGGATGTGTCCTGTACTGGTTCCAGATTCTCTCTGTTTTGGGGGTTTTTTTCTTTTGCAGCTGGTGCAGATCCTAGACATGGTAACGGGTACTGTGCACGTGTATCCTCTGGCAGAGGACGAGACCTTGCAGAGTGTGAAAGCCAAGATCCAGGCAGATACTGGCATCCCAGAGCAGGAGCAGGAGCTCCTTCAGGAAGGAGGGTTGGCATTATTTTCTGAGAAACCAGCCACTCAGTATCTGGCTGACATCAAGGTGTGTCCAATAACATTTTCACCCATGGGTACCAAATTAGCTCCTGTTGCTTTTGGAATACTCCCAGCTAGTGAAATTTCAATTTTGTCCTTTACCTTAACTACAAAGCCTTGGAAGGAATTGCCATTGTTTTAAAGGGATGGGGAGTGCAGAAGCAGGGAAATGGAGTCCCCTTTTTGTGGGAGATGGTTTGGTTAAAAGTAAATTTGTGAGCAAAGGGAACCACTCAAGGAAAGATAACAAGGGAAACCGAAGAGGCTTGAGGGATGAGGAACAGGACTTGTGTAGCAATGAATGAGGTACTAATTTTCTCATTGTATTAAAAACACTGCATCTTTTCCCTACATAATGTTATTTCTTTCAGATAGAACACTTGGGAGAATGACTTTGAGTGACTCCTTTGGAGAACTAGCTATTAATATCCTATTTCTGTTGGCCGTTCTTAGTCCTTTGGATAGGGCATGATTGTAGGTGTTTCCAAGTAATAGGCCCCACAATAAGGGATTCGTGCTTCTTTTCCTTGCAGCTAAATGATGCCACAGTTGCTGACACAGGCCTCTTCTTCCTGTTCGACAACCGAAAAGTTACATACAGGCCTCAGATCTCTCCCCGACCTCATCCAGAAAGCATTAACAGTATTCGTAAGAACCTTTTCTGTGTTTTGGTGCTACTTGGGGGGGGGGGGGACAATTAATTGTTTTCAGGTGAATATATAGTGAGGAATACTTGCTGCCTTTGTGACTGATTGGAAATATATGTGTGCTCTGTGCTTACAAAAATAATAATCCAAATTCTGCTTCAAGAAACATGTAACATGTACAAATTAAGCACCTTGTTTTATTTGCTATATTTATAAAAAGCTGCCCAATATATCATTCTCTATTCTGGTTACAACATAAAATGATAAAATACAGTTGAAAATGAAGTATCATAAAATAACCATTTATGGCATAAAAACTTCCAGCATATAGTTTTATATTTCCTTACCTGGCATGACTGAGGAGGGGCAGTGAGCACTCCTCCAGCCACTAGAAGTCCTCATACAGCTGAGGTCTTCTCTGGCTGGTGAGATTCTTCCTGGTTTTGCCTACACACTTTCAAGCTTATCTCTGCAACCGTATGGGCTAGGAACATACTTAATTTTTTTTTTTTTAAGAACTCAGGACACCATACTATGACAATTCAGGTTTCTGTACATACATGAATTTCAGAATACATACCACACTGAACACAAGGTGACACGGTGGCAGCCTCTAGATGTGTCATTCCACAATTTCTGTATTACACGCTTTTCATCATAGGAAATATATTTTTATATATTTTCTTGGCTACCTGGTGAGTTAGTTTAGCCTAAGGAGGATTGGCTTGCCCAAAGCCACCAATGATCTTCCTGGCTAAGGGGGAATTTGAAGCTGAGTCTTTCACTCCCCAAGCCAAGGAGTGATTTTTTCTAAAGTGCACAGACCCATGACGGATGTGAGCCCCAAGCTCAGCTTGGTTTTTTGAAACATCGTTTATATTGATCAGTAAGACTGAGATAACAAATTAATTCAGCCCCTGATGTTTTTACTGCAGAAGTTGGAATGAACTGAAAGAGTCAGGAAATGCTGGCAAGATAAGGAGCTTTTGGAATTCCTTGCCTGTGTAGACAAAGTTAGTTACCATATCTCAAAACCTAATGGACACTTGTAAGTTGTGTGATGACAGGCAGGTGGACTGTGTAACACACAGACTACGGATGGTCTCTCATTCATTGGTTGTGTCTGCATCTCCTGGGAGATGAGCCAACAGGTGGGTATTTTTGCCACTGATGTCTGTGGCAGCGGTAGAACCCACGCCTATGATTGACTAGATTAATTATTCGGTTCACCATGCAGGCAGGGGCTGAAAGAGACAAGTCAGGGAGTAGTTTTGGCTTACTGGTTGCAGAACTGAGGATTTGACTTGACTCCTGAGAGAGTTTTTTGTAGCATCCAGCTAATTAAGAGACCAGTCTAGTCCTGGGATAGCCTGAAAAAGTCCAGACATATTCTAATTTTGTAGAAACCAGCACTTGGCATGTAAAGCATACAAAATCCTAATTGTGGGTTTGGGTTTCCCCACTTGTGTCCCTCTTCCCTGTCCATCCTTCTCTTCTTTCTTCTGCAGTTCAGGATCCAAAGAAGAACCTCTCCTTCCTCCAACTGCGCAAAGTGTGGGGGCAGGTCTGGCATACCATCCGAAGACTGAATGAGGACTTCCACCAGCTCCAGCACGGGCAGCGGGCAGCCATGTGCGTGATGGGATCCTGCTACCTTTGGGGCTGCCAGTTCTGTCCACTGGGCTCAGACCTCGCTGGCCTGTTCTATGAGCAGCCTAAGTGAAGTCTGCACCACAAAGGAAATGTTCCCTGTTCTTTGCCCAGAGACGCTTCAGTTCCAAAGCCTTAAACATTTTTGCAAGTTTGCATTATATTTATTTGGCCAATTGATTTTTCTTATGCTAGCCCAGGGTGAGAGGGTGCAGAGAGTCTGGGGCTATGGCTGGAAGGCCTGCCTTCTGAAACCTCAAGAGGGCTCCCAGGTGTTGTTCTGCTTATGCTTGTAGTTCTTGGGGCTGGAAGCCTTGCTTTAAAAAGGAAAGGAGAAACACGGAAATTACCAAGGGGCTAATTTTTTGCCCTCAGTAACCACATTTGTGTACCCCAGCTGTGTGGATTGCATGCCACTCTAAATACAGGTTATATGAAATAGGCTCCTGCTTGGCTCCTCTTTGGCTTTTTCTGTGCCAAGGTTTTATTGACCAAGGCTTTTTGCATTTTTAGTTTAATCCGGACTGTAGATGTTTGATGCTGTCTCTATTGTTGTTTTTTTCTTGGCTGGTTTTTTATTGCTTTTTGTTGGTTTATATTATTATACGCTGCAGTGTTAGCAAGCCACCCCAGGAATATTTATAGACAGACAGTCATATAAATTTACAATACTGTCTTTGAGACTGAGACAGAACTACTGGTTAAAAGGTGCGCCATGTCATTGTGCTGACGCTGGGTGGGGATGATGGCTGTGGAGCAGACAAGGTCTGGTCAGCTGGGCCTCCAAGGGGGCAACTCTTTCTCTCTCTTTCTGCCTGCTTTGTAGGAGGAACCTTCTGCGCCACAACAGCACCCTTTCCAAGATGAAGAACACAATGGCCTCCCTATCGCAGCAGCTGAAGGCAAAGCTGGACTTCTTCAAAGCCAGTATCCAGATTGACTTGGAGAAGTACAATGAGCAAACTGAATTTGGAATCAGTGAGTTTGGCTGTTTTTAATGATAGGAAAGCAGTTGCTAGGACAGATCTCTTCCCTGGGTTTTGTTTGCCTTGATGCCAGGTCATGCTCCCTACAGTATCACATTTTGCGCTTCTTCCTCGACTGGACCATCAGAGACTGCTAAGAAATGATAGCAAGTCTGAATCCTTCCCCAGGCCAGAAAGCATGGGCTGGGTGACAGCAGGTTAGGCTAAACTTCTCCTTCTTCATCTGCCAGGATATTTTTGTGCAGGAGGGAGAGAGAATTTAAACAACAGAATTTTAATAGTGCTTATTTGCTTTATATGCTTAAGAAATTATGTTTATCTTCTTGTCTGTATTATTGCATAGCTTGGCGTTGGTTGAGGAAAGCGGTTCCTGGCCTGCTCTCCACCCCCCACCCCCGCATTCCCTGCAGTGACAGGAGTTGTGCCCCATGTGCTCCCACCCCATTTTCAATGTCTGATGAGAATCTGAATACTCCTGGGCAGCTCCCTGCTTTCACAAGCTTTTCTTTTGTCTGTGGTGCCTCAAAGGCTTCCTGCTGACTTCTAGGACGGCCTTTGATCTTGGACTTCCCACCTTTATTATATTGCATGTCAGAGCTCTCTAATCACCTCCTCCTCAGTGTGAACAGCAACAGACCCCTTCAGTCCTAGCTCAGTTTAGAAAAGGGTTCCTGTAAAAATGAGTTGTTCTGCAATGTAGTGCCTCTTTTCAGTAAACCATGTCTTGCATCAGCCCTGCCCTAAATTCCCATATTCCCCCATCAGACTTGGTTTTCACCAGCCACAGCATCTAATGTTTATGGTGACTCCTTGAGAAGGCTCAAAGGGATACTTTTGCTGATCTAGGAAGGGTCTCTTGAAAACCAGAGCTCTTTTCTTTTTACAGCTTCTGAGAAACTGCTGCTTGCATGGAAGGAAATGGAGCAGACTGTGGAGCTCTGTGGGCGGGTAGGCTTGGACTTTTTTATCTTTTGTTTTGCTTGGATGAGTGTTTTGCCTTGCTCTCTTACAGGATGCTTAGAGTTACCAGGCCATAACCTGTAAGGTGGCTGGGATCAATTTCTTGACAATCCTGTCTTAATTGTTGGACTTTGGGAAGCGTTAATGGACGAGGAATAAACCCAAGATGTTCCTTGTTTCTTTCAGAGCTTGTGGGCAAGTGGTAGAAAATTAGCTGGAGATTAACAGAGTTGTGTGGTCACAGGAGGAGAAAGGATAAGAGGACCCAGTAACAATAAACAATAACAAGTACTTGAGAGCAGAGGTGGGCAGAGGCTAGATCTCTATGAGTGATTTGCAGTAAACCAGAACGCATTTCCGACTCTCAGTTGCTTAACCATGGCAGCAGCAAAATGACTCTCCCCTACCTGTCCTAAATTATACTGCTGAAATGAAAATCTTTTGAGGCAAGCAGCTTTGATATGAAAATAGCTTGGGGAGGGGCTGGAGCTCAATGGTAGAGGATCTCTTTTGTATGCCAAAGGTTCAGATTCAATCTCGAATAGCATCTCTGGCTAGGGCTGGCAGAGAACCCTGTCACAAACCCTCAAGAGTCACTGCCATCCACAGTGTAGATAGCAGGCAGTATAGACTGTGAGCTCCATCCTGTTCTGGAACATACAGTAAATTCCTGAGCTCAGAATTCTCTTCATTGTGCATCTTTTGCATCAGGTTCTGGTTGGTGGATCTTGATGTTCTAGTAACAAGCAAAGTGGATCCCCAAGCCTGATGTCTCCCCACCCCTGCTTTAAAGTGTTCCAAGTATCTTTAAAAAACCTTGTCTTGGTGATCCTTGTACCAGCCCTGTAAGACCTGGTATTGCATATGGTATTGCACCCATATGTTTGATGGAGAGCTGAAGCTGAGAGTGAGGGCTTACCAAAGGCCACTGACGAGGACTGTGTTACAAGTGACTTAACAGGGAAAGCAATGAATAAACTGTGATAACTATCTGTTAAAAAATGAGCAATATAAAAATGTAACTCTTTCAGCCAAACCACTTAAAATAATCATTAGAACTAGTTCAGTCACATCCCCCAAGCTGCTGAAGTTTGGCTAGGTCTTTTTATGGGCCATTGTGATGGTTGTGATATGTTCTTTTTGGCTCTTTTTTGGTAAGGTATTTAGAGAGACTTTTGAAACAAACAGCTAAGTCCAAATAATAATCACAATCACAATCACAATCACAATTAAAACTGATCTGGCGAAAAAGATACCCAACAGCAATAAGACAAACAACATTCCGGATCATGAGCCTGGCATCTTAAAGATGTTAATGTGGAGGCCAGATGAGCCTCTTTGCAGAGGGCAAGCCATAAGAGGAAGGCCAGAATGCAAATTTCCTTCTTGTCAGCACCTGCTGTGCTTTTGCAAGAGGAGCACACAGGTGAGAAGTGCTAGGTTTAGGTACTAGAATTATGCCAACACCATTGTCTGTCTTGCTGGCTTCAGAGGTAGAACTTCAAGTATTGTCAAAAGGCTCTGAAAATTATACCTTCCAGTGTGTTGGCCAAAAGCTAACAGTGTGGCAACAAAACATCTGTATATTTGTTTGTTTCACTTGGTTGGTTGGCTTTGAAATTTGTTTCCCCTGGATGGATCTTAGGCAGCCTTCACTAACCTGGCACCCTCCAGATGTTTTGGACTACAATTCCCATCAACCCCCAATAGCATGGCTGTCGTGGAGGGTGCCAGATCAGTGAAGGCTGCTCTTGAGGAGTCAGCAGGTGGGCTCAATACTGCAAGCCCCTCACAACACCAGCTCTGGCTGTGAATTTTGAGTCAATGGCAGAAGGCAGAGCGCAGGTGCCTGGTATTAAAGGGGCATTTCCTCCAGCCTCCTTGGGCATGATACCACTGGCTCATTGCTAGCCTGGGATTGTTTAAGACTGGCTGGAAAGAATTGGGTTACCTGCAGCCTAAGCTACTGGAAATAATGTCTTGCAACATGACCAAACCATTCCTGGTTTGCTGTCCTTTCCTTGTCCCCTCCTCTGCCTCCCAAGGAGGAGGAAGTTGAGCAGCTGGTGAAGAAGACGATGGCCCTACAGACAGACATTGTGGACCTGCAGAGAATCCCACAGGGCCCGAAACAAGGGAGCTCTCTGGATGCCCTGTAAGTAGTTGCTTGTAGTGCCTTTGGTTGTTTTAGCCCTTTCCTAAATACCATTTTCTCCAGTATCCATCATCCTGGGGCAGCATAAAATCACCTCCTTCGTTTGATAGACATGTACCCTGGGAAGAGGTCAGATACGCATGTGTAACACGTCAAACATGATAGCTTTTATTTGGGTTTCCCTATATTTAAAGAACAGCATAGGAAACTTAGAAAGTTTGGCACACCTAAGTCACGGAATCCAGTGGCACAGCACTTACATATACCTATTTAAAAAAATGATTTTTAGTTTTTTTGGTGCTTACCTTTCTCTAGGTTGCACTTATAGCCAACCCGGCCAGATCTGATCCAGCCCCACAATCAAATGTTTATGCCCCCTGCCCATCAAGACTCCACCAATTTTGTCGGTGGTGGCAGAAAAGAAAAAATTAAGGTACACACCATGCTGGAGTGGGTGGCACGGCTTAAACCTCTCTGCGCTGCCCAGGCCCCAGTAGCCTGATGACTATGGGAGGCACATTGCCCCTTCCACAGCCATCAGAGCAGCCATTTGATGAGCTGGGAGGGGCCATCACTTTCGCCTCCTCATCTGATCCGCAGGGATCAGCAGATTTTTTTGGGGGGGGGTTGTGTGCCCTACAAATGCGGGTGGTGCCCACACCTACTGCTGTCATGCGGTCCAAAGGAGGTTATCCACGCCAACATGCAACATAGCCAGGTTGAAAAGGCTGGTGCAACTTATCCAAATCTGGAAGGCAACAGGCTGGGGGAGGCTAATCTAATCTCTCTCCCTCCATTGTATACATTCAGCAGAGTCTCACCTGAACTCTGCCCATTTCAGGCTGCAGATAGGTTAAAGCTCCATGCACCAAAAAACCAGCAACAGCTTATCATGAAGAAGACTGGCCAGAACTTTTCTTCTTGCCTAGTCTTTCTAGTTACATGTGTGCAGGGGGAGCAATCAAAGAGCATCCTCCTGGTCACTTGGAGTGGCAATGTTAAGGGATAGGTTTTCCACTTTATTCTAAGAAATGTATAGCTGAACCTTGTGCTGGCTAAGGAAATTTGCATTTTAGATTAAGAATCTTCTGGGTCTTGTTAATCTTTAGGATTTAATCCTTGGGATTAAATCTAAACTGGCAAATGAACAGCAGATCTGTATTTACTCCACTGAGAGGCTGCAAGATCATATGGCACAGAATTTGAGTTGCTCCTTGCTCCCCCCTCCATCTCCATACTGAAGAGTGCCATTGTCAATAAGAGAGGAGTACTAGAAAAGGGGGCAGGAGAGGCACTGAGGAAAATCATGTCAAAAGAAAGGCTGATGTAGTTATGTTGTTAGTATTCTGTTTGTTCTTTTACGTTGTTATTAAATGATGTTTTTATAGTAATTTTATTTTGTAAATAATTTAAATAAGTGGAGCATTGAACTGTAGCCAAATGGGATTTACGGGAGAGAAGGGCAAGCTGTACAGGGGCTTTGCTCGAAGTTACCATTGCAACTTAAAAGTGCTTTACCAATTGTAATGTGTGTAAGTCCCTAGGATTCTCACTTCTTACAGAAGGGTAACAGGCTAAGAGAGCAATTTTTGCCCAAAGCCACGCAGAAGGTGTTGAACCATGCTGAGCACCCAGTTGGTCTGAACATGGCGTTGGGTGGGGTGGGCTTGCTTCTACACTCACGACCGCTGGAGAAAATTTGTCTTTCCTGTTTCTTTTATAGAGAGGGACAAGCAAAGGACTTGTACCAGAGACTGAGAGAAAAGCCAAGAGGTAAAAAAAGCCTTTGTAGCATAGGAATCTTGTTGCCGCATGATCTGTTCCAAAGGAAACTGACTACAGCTGGGGACAGGAGAGCACTGCTTTCTCATCTCACCATTTCCCCAACCTTGTGCTCCTTGACAGTGCTGTGGAGATGCATGTTTACAATCCCCGTTCTTTTAGCATCAACATCCCCCACCTGTCTCCTTTGAGACTTCTGTAGTACAAAACACAACACAGAATAGTGTGTTACTAATAATGAGAAGATTGTTACCCCTTAACATGCTTTTGCCCCACTTTTTTGTGGACATGGTGAGGGATGAATACTAAAGAGCAGTGACTTGCGTTCTGGCAACCACTTCAATAGCATTTGGTATTCCATTCACATTTCACTCTGCTGAACTAGCTGTTACCAGTTGGCTCCAAGTTTTACTGAGCAATGTTGAAGAATGCCGCCAAATATAGAGCGGTGATTTTAATCTGCATTAGTGGCAGTGATGGCAAATCCAGAGAGGGGTATTAATTTATACCGGAATAGATCCAATCTTGCTGAAGCTGTTCAAGGGTTTTAATTCTTTTGCCTGTTGCCCAACAGTCACAGCAATGGGGGCTGTTTCCTTTCTTATGTCTTTGAGGAGCTTTCTCGCCCCTGCCCCCACCCTCTGCCTAACATGCCACTTGATTCTGCACACTTTTTGTCTAGACCAAAGGACTAGCGGAGACAGCCAAGAAGTCGTGAGGCTACTTCTGCAAGCAATCCAGACCTTTGAAAAGAAAGTCGGCCTCCTTTATGCTCAGCTCAGGTAGGACACCCAAAGACCCACTGTAGTGAGGTTGTCCTGGTTACTGGGAATAAAGTTGAAGTGGGGGAATACTGTTTAGTGGAACTCTGCCATTGTCCCACACCTCTCAGAGTTCTCTGTCTCTCCCCCCCTCCTTGTGCTAGTAGAGCTGATGACACGTGATTAGAAGGCTATCTCTTCTTTACAGTAAAACAGTTGTCTGCAAGCAAAAGGCACTGGAGTTATTTCCTAAAGTGGATGAGGTGATGAGCCTGATGAATGAGGATGAGAAAATGGTTGTTGAGCTTCAGGATAAACGGCAGAAAGAGCTGTGGAACCTGTTAAAAATTGCCTGTGTGAGTAAAGTGGAAGATATTTTTCTGGTTAGGAACATCAGATTCTTCTCCATCTGGCGAAGATCAAGTAGAATTAACTGTGCCCACGGCTCCCTCCCAACTCTCAAAATCTTCTGAGAACCCTTTCCCCATCATCTTGCCTGCTAAGAAACCAGTGGGCTTCACAAGTTCTGAGGGCTCTAGGCCAGACTTGTTGGGCCTCACGTTAACTGAGTGTATAACCCTGGAGCATGCCCCATCCTTTCCTGTTGCTTCCCCCTGCATTGTGAACTTTGTATTACTGATATTCTTCAGGGATCCTGACAGCTGTTTGGAAATTACTGGCAGCAATGCCTTTAAATGAAAATAGTGTATTTCTTCATATTGCATGTAGAAAGCTTGATCTGTGTTCTTCCTCTCCTGCAGAGCAAGGTGCGTGGGCCTGTCAGTGGGAGCCCAGACAGCATAAGCGCATCACGCCTTAGTAATCCTGGTCAACTCTCATTGCAGGTTCCAGCCCTGCACAGTAATTTACAGGATCCTGGGATTAAAAGGTAATATTTAAGGCAATGGTTTGCTCTCATAGCTATTGGTTACCTCTGCACTGGTCTTCAGCAGGTGGTTTGGGACCACTTGTGTGTCACGGCCTGATCCAGAATGCGGCAGCTAGACTGGTGACTGGGAGCAGCCACCGAGACCACATAACACCAGTCTTGAAAGACCTACATTGGCTCGGAAACAGCATGTTTCCGAGGACAATTCAAAGTGTTGGTGCTGACCTTTAAAGCCCTAAACGGCCTCGGCCCTGTATACCTGAAGGAGTGTCTCCACCCCCATCGTTCCGCCCAGACACTGAGGTCCAGCGCCGAGGGCCTTCTGGCGGTTCCCTTGCTGCGAGAAGCTAAGCTACAGGGAACCAGGCAGAGGGCCTTCTCAGTGGTGGCTCCCGCCCTGTGGAACGCCCTCCCACCAAATGTCAAAGAGAAAAACAACTACCAGACTTTTAGAAGACATCTGAAGGTAGCTCTGTTTAGGGAAGCTTTTAATGTTTAATAGACTATTGTATTTTAATATTCTGTTGGAAGCCGCCCATAGTGGCTGGGGAAACCCAGCCAGATGGGCGGGGTATAAAAATAAATTATTATTATTATTATTATTATCCACAGTGGGTCATAACAAGGGCAGCAGCCCCATGCAAATATATGGTAGAAGAGTAAGAATTGGGTCCCCAACTGCATGTTTGGATTAAAAGTGGGTACTGGGTCTGAAAAGATTGAAGGTACCTGTTCTGCATTACCCTTTTGTCTGCAGTTAGTTGAACTGGGTAATACTTTCCCTTGCTGTTTCCCTTGCACACGCATAGACTATGTCATCTTACAAATGTGTCTAAAGTTCCTGTGTTGCATTTTTGTATGTTACATATGTGCTGTAACTCGTAGGCAATACTCGTCACAGGTTACCTTGACACCTTGACACGCATGACAGAAGAAAGGTGTGTGACTGGTAGCATGCTTGGTTGGAGCTGGCTGACTTCACAAGGAAATACTTTACTGGCTTCCGATAACATTCTCAAAGACAAACAGATTCATTCCTCTGTTCAGCACTGCAGTGTACATGCTTTTTTTCAAGCAAGGAATGAATTATTTTTAAAACATGCACTGTATCACTAGTTACCCTTTTTATTATCTGTTCTCAGCCAAAGAGAGCAAACTTTACACTTCCTTTGAAGAACACCCCTTTAGTCACACAGCAAACTGTCAAACTGAGGGCAGTTAAAGCAGTTTGTGATTCACTTTTTAAAAACAAAACAACAAAAATAGGTTCCCACTAGCCTAGTGAAGGCATGAAGCGGCTCTGCAAATCCTGGCAAAAGTATGCCGTGATGAAAAAATGGACCTCCTTTATGCCAGTTCCTTTTATTGTGATATTCTTAAAAATCTTCTCGGATTTGTTTTAGTGAGGAGTTACTGATGGAATCTCGAAGTCTCTGCAATCAGCTAGAGAATGTGATGCACCACACAATGAAGGATCAAGAGCACAGCTTTATGGTAACATCTTATGTTTTCTGTTGTAAAGTGACTGGGGCGAGGGGAGCGGAGAGACTGATGCTTTGCCAGTACAGTCCCTGCAGGTCAGTTTGAAAGTGGGTGGCATTGCCCCTCTCTCAGACACCTGATGTTAGATGGTTGAAAGGTAGGTGGCCTTCCCCATATGATAGCACCAATAACTTGTTTCTAGCCAGCGAGAAAGCACTCTTATTTAGACTAGCTTATAGTCACACAAGAGAGGATTTAACCTGAGCTGAAAAATACTTTGGAGGGAATTGGACAGGAAGCCACAGTTTTTATGAATGAGGTGTCTCAATAAGCACTTGTTTTGTTTTTAGGCTCTGGACTGGAGTTGGTTGAAACTTCAAGAGGAAGAAAGAGGAAAAGGCCTAGAACAAACCCAGATGTGAAAAGGGCCACTATTAAATCGCTTAAAAGCTAACATTTTAAAAGTTGGTAGCCTGCTATGAATGGAGGCTGCTACCCTTGTTGAGAAATCTATGCCTATTGCCCACTGACTGATTGTATTCATTTTTTACTCTTAATCATCTGTATATATAAAATATACTGTTTGTGAACTATGTTTGAGTGTAAATTCTCTCTAGACCTCCCTAAAGCGTAAATTGCCCCCTCTAGCCATTTCCCACTTGGTATTTATTAAACCTCTGACTTGGAAGCAAACTTAGAAGCACCAGTTTTAGAAATAGCATACATGCAGGATATGGGTCAGTATGCACCATTACAGATCAGGATAGCCATTCAGGGAGGCTTACCTCTTCCACTAGTACCGTAAGTTGGTCTCTGCAATTAGCTTTGAACTTAATGGTCACCAGGTAGGGGTAACCACCTTTGTTCCAGTGATGCTGACTTCAAAGGACCCCATACCTTGCAAGTTGTACAGTACCCAGTGCAAGCAGAGGCAATGCCAGGTCTAGCTTAGGCAATAAAGTTCAAGCAGCTAAGGCAGGTTATATGGTTGAGCATGCAGCTACAAACATACTGGCTTAAAAGCCTAAGGACCATGTAACTTAGGGGTAACCAGTTTGGTGCTTGCTAGCAGTTGCTGGACTTACAACTCCACAGGTTTGCCAGAGGTTGAATTGAGGGATGTTGTACAGCAGCCTCTGGGGAGCACCATGTTGGCTGTCCCTGATCCTGTGAAATGCATTGCCTTGAACAACAAAGCTGGTAGGATCCCAGTGTTTGGATTGGGGTCACACTGATCATAATGAGAGAGATAATAACAAGATGGCCTTTCCAAGGACAAAATTATGTTCTTTCCTGCACTTAACAAGGCAGAAGTGTTAGGTCCTCATTTTTCCATAGCCAAAGTATCCTTCTGACTGAAGCATCTGAAGGGGTTCACAACTCAAGGATGGACTAAAGTTAAGATCTGGAGCACTGGCTCTTCAGACCTTGGCATTCATTGCCCAAGCTATAATTCCGAAACTTTCCTCGAAATTAAAAAGCTTAGCAGATTCTCACAAGATTGTAGAGATGTGACAAGTGTTACAGATGCACTCTGACTGAACTGGGCTTAGAGTACCTTATACACACTTCCACTGTCAACACTCCCATACTGTGTCAAATTCAGTTGCAAGAAAGCAGAACTGATTCTGGTGGTGCTGCTTCACTGGCCTTGAAGGACTTGGGTTACAGAACTACTACAATCAACCTGACCAAGTCGCTGTCCAAAGCTATGAGAAACTACTGAATGTTCTCCCAAAACATTTCTCTCTCAGGCAATGCAGGTTTTGCTTCAGCCATGCTGCAATGGGGGAAGCACTTTACCCAAATACTTCTTGGTGCCAGAAAGCCCTAGCTAGGGTTTGGGGGGAAGGTATTTCAATGCCTCATCTGAAGCGCTATTGGAGTTTTGCATTCCATATTGCTGCACAAGAACTCAACCGAGATTGTGAAAATAACTTCAGACCAGGCAGACACTGAACCAATCAAGTAAATTTCCTCTCAGGTTGCTGCCCTGGAAATACTTGTTCTTAGTTGTCATAACATTGGCCAGACAAATTTCAGCCCTTGTTGTTGTATCAGTCAGTGCTGACTAAACTAATCTTTCCTGCACCCTGAAGGTCAGGAGTATCTAGATTGTGTCCAATGCTACACACACAGAGTTCCACTAATGGAACAGGACTGCCCCTTTCTCTCCCCACTCCCTCAAAACCTGCTCCAATCTTCTGGAGTGGATTTTGAGAGTACGGGAAGGGGAGAGTTTTGTTGTGCAAGCAGGTCTGCTGCACTTGGGAAACAGCAGCACTGGATATGACCCCATGTCCCTAACCTTTTGCCTAAAGCACACAGACACCAAAGAGAACTGATGGCATACTTGACTTTGGTAAACATTATCGCAGTTGAGTACTCTCCTCCCCAAAGGCACCCCCATTCTTGTTACTCAAGAAAGAAAATGGCAGAAAGTCTAGCCCCCCCACCCAGAATGATCAGTGCTGCTATCCAACATCCCTTGTTTGGATCCCCCACCTCAAAGCACCTCAGCTGAATTACATGCTGAAACTACCAGACAGGACTTAGTCCAATGCTTTAGCACAGGCCAGCCTACAGTGCAAGTGAGGAGAGTGACAGTTGCCTGGTTCCCTTCCATCTACTGAAGAGAATGAACATTCAGAGTAACGCAAATGTCCCTCTCTAATTGCCAGGTGTTGCACCTGTCTAGCAGAGCAATGTGCTTTACATACAGCCACCCTCCAATTAGATATGAGAGCAAAATGTAATACAACCCTCTCTCCTTGTCTCCCTATTGTAGCTTAGTCTTTGGCTTTTTAGCTGTGTGCTAAAAGAGACAGTAACCATACAAGGAGTAACTTCCAAATGTGATTTTGATTTATTTCCACTTTGATGCAAAACCAAAGCTTTCACTACAGCACAGAGACCAGTTATACAAAAGGTCGTGAGGTGCAGGACATGCAGGATGTGATGTAGGAACACAGAAGGATGGGAGATTATTTCCTTTCACCAGATGCTATGCTGTCTTCTGAGGAACACATTTTAAAGAAACTGAGGAACTGAACTGAAATGTAGGACAACCATTACAACTTCCATGCATGCCTTCAAGTATTGCCCTTCATGGTAGGTTTGCACTCTCCAGACTTCAAATGTTGGGGGTTACAACAATTCTTTGGAAGAATATCAAGTTCACACTTTTTGAAGTTTCACGGAAGAGTTTAAGGCCAGAACATGTGGGGTTTGTTTTCTCCTTCATCTTCCAAATAAAGATCTAATACTTCATTAAAACCTACATTAAGCTTCGAGCTCAAATCCCAGCCCAATTTTATGGCCGCCAGTACTGAAATTCTTGCCATCAATCAGAGCAGAGAGAGTCAACTTCACACCTGGGAGAAACACAGTGCCATTATTAAGAGAATACAGCAGACTATCAACCAGTAAGGGAGAACAGGGGGGAAAGTCAGAAGAGAAGACTCGCAGCTGAGAGAACTCAAGGTTCTAGATGTCAAGATGTGTGCTAGATCTCAAGGTAATTCTTTGGTAAGACTCCCATGCACTGAGGTTTCTCAGGCAAGTTGTTCTCTCTAGACACACACTGGCTACATTAGCTTCCCTTTGTGGCAGGATTTACTCAAGGCATAATCCAAAAATAAGGTGGCGCATACTGTTCTTTACAGGGTTTGGACCCACTACCCCATGATGCCCTAGAAGTATCACTGGAATTTTCTAACTCATTTTGTCCTACAGCCAAGATGCAAGCAAAATTAAGCTATGCATTCAATACATTCACAGTTTACATACCAGGTCGTAAGGTCTGAGTGTAGCCAAGTCCAATGAGGCTGGCATTATTGACTTTGGCCTAGAAAGAAAAAAAGGAACATTCAACAGCGTTACCAGTTTTTACTTGCTTTCCTGAGAAAGTTTATGAAGAGTCAGCAGTCTTCTAGAACTAGATCCATCAGCAAAGAGGTGGAAGACGCTGGTAGTTATATGTTGGCAACTGCTTTCTGAGCATAAAAAGTCCCTCCTTCACCAGTCTGGGTAAAGGAATGGTGCCCACAGTAGTGGAAACACTAATGTTATTGCCCTTAAGCATCAATGTAATCAAAATCCATTCTCCTGTGTGTCACGAAGAGGAAATGATCACATGCAATATAGTCAACATTACCCAGAAGGAAGGAAGACTGGATGTTAAACAAAACTTAGGGTAAAGGTAAAGGGTAAAGGGACCCCTGACCATTCGGTCCAGTCGTGACTGACTCTGGGGTTGCGGCGCTCATCTCACTTTACTGGCCGAGGGAGCCGGCGTACAGCTTCCGGGTCATGTGGCCAGCATGACTAAGCTGCTTCTGGCAAACCAGAGCAGTGCATGGAAACGCCGTTTACCTTCCCGCCGGAGCGGCACCTATTTATCTACTTGCACTTTGATGTGCTTTCGAATTGCTAGGTGGGCAGGAGCAGGGACTGAGCAACGGGAGTTCACCCCGTCACAGGGATTCGAACCACCCACCTTCTGATCGGCAAGCCCTAGGCTCTGTGGTTTAACCCACAGCGCCTCCTGGTTCCCTAAAAAAATCCTCAAAAAATCCTCAAAAACACAAAAGGCTTCATTCTTAGTAAGATGATAAACCTAAGCCCTCAACCTACAGGTGGAATACTGCTCCATATAAAACAGTACCCTGCATGCAGAAAGGCTACGTTCAAACCCTTCTCCCAGAGGACATATTCTATATGTAGGAAATTCAATAAGAGCACTCACTCCACCTGAAGTTGGACCTGGATGAAGACTTATCTACCAAATGAGATCTCGATACAGTACATAGGATTGATACCACTGCCAAATACACCAAAAATCTCACAAATAGTGAAAGTCTTCCTACTCCCTAAGTTGATTCTACACAAACAATTCACAGCTAGCATAAAACAAACAAGTGAATTTGTTTTTATAAGACACTAGTCCATACTGAAACTTTCACTTGACAACTCGTATCACTGAAATTGTTGCATATAGGGTTCATGCTAGAATCACAAGGAAAAGGTTAACATAAAACTTCTGCTATTGTTAAGACTGCTCCAAAGACATCTGAGGCATAAAGCCAAGAGGCAAGGAAAATGGGACAGTGCTATACAATTAACTTGAAATTATCAGCACACATGTATAACATACTGGGAAGATGGCAAAATTCTTACCGAGACAGAAGCTTTATCATCCAACTGGTACTTGGTGGCAATACCAAACCGAGTGTTATTACTGCCAGCGGTCCAAGCAAGACTGACAGATGTTTCAATGTTGTTATTAACCTTCTGATAGATGGAGCCACCAAATTCAGTGCCATCATTCCTATTTTTTAAGTGAGCAAATGAAGATTTCATTTTGCCTTTATAGAAGTTTTTCAAACAATTGCAAATATTTGCCCTTATTCTCTTTACCTCTACCCCAGCCTTATTCTAGCTTGTATTGATTTTCTGTTTTTCTAGTCCGTCCCCACCCCACCCTGCTTTTAGGGCTAAGAGTGGCTGACAACAATTTTGAATAAAATGGTTAAATCCATATATATTCCCTTCTTGTCCTGACATTTTCCCTACTAGAGTAGAGGTTCTGTAGCTAAAGTTAGACTTAGGTTAATATATGAAGATGCACCAATTATCAGCTGGAATAGGGAAAAGATCTGAAATAATGACAAGCATATAAATGATATTTTTTCCCCAGCTGGGTTGAGAGGGAAGCACTTTCTGATATGAAGCAGAAAGACCAAATATAAGCTAAAATGTTCCTTTCTAAACTGCACTCTGAATGCAAGAGCAAGTGAATGGAGATTGGAAGGAGCCATTTCCCATCCCGATCTCCTTAGCTTCAGCATGTGCCTTCATGATGGAATATACCCTGCTCCATGCAAATTAACTGCCCCGGTGCTAGCATAATGTGAGAGAACCAAAAGTAATTCAACTGTGCACTCATTTCCTTTTTAATGAGTTCCTGGATCCTGGCAAATGCCCTAGAAATCTATGGACTAAGAATTGTGCTCTTTCTGGGAAAGAACCATAGGTGGTCAGCAAAGACTTGGTTTGCAACCTTCAAGACTGAAGGCAAAGGTCACCTTCAATACAACCTCAAATTTAATCCCTTTCATATATGCATATCGCCTGTCTTAGCAGAAAGCTGATATTGCATATTTTATTGATTGTTTTATTATGTTTTCTGGTTTCTGTACATTCTGGCCTCCTGACCACAAAGAAATACTTACACATTTGTGTGCAGCTGGAAGTCTGCTGCCTTATATCCCAATGCAAAGTTATTCTGTGAAAGTTTGGACTTGGCTGTGTCGAAAGCCATCTGATACCCAGCAAGCCAACCTTCATAGCCCAGAACAGCCCAGCCATGGATGGTTGGTCCAGCGAGGTCAATGTCAACATTACAACCTAGGTTTAGATACTCCCGTTTATAGGATGTCTTCAACTTTCCACTCTTCTTCCTGGGAAGGTGTAAGAACAGGGAATCAAGTTTAATCCCATCTATAACCTCTAGTAGGCATTTCTTACAAACCCATACATTTAGCAGAAAACTGGGCATGAATTACCCCTGCGTGCTACCTGATGTTACATAATTGATTCAGTGTCACTGTCAATATTTCAATACATTCATTTAAAGACAGCCTTAAGCAAAAGAATAGGAAAGCACCTCCTATGTGAGCTAGCAGCTCCAGTACAACAGTCTGCAAGTGGTACCATCACCTATGAGGAAAGCACCCGGCTAAAAGTAGCCCTCTCGAGGGATGAATACTTACCCTGTGTTTGGTACAAACATGGTTTCAAGGGTCAGCTTCAGTCCCTCAGCCAGCTGAAGTGAAAAAAGAAAAATATAGTACTCGTCTTTAAAAAATAATTACTTAATAAGTGGTATTTTCTTACTACTTTAACTGCTTCTACTTAGCATTTCTTGTTCTTTGTAAATTATGGTAGTCTGCAGCACAGAAAAATGAAAAAAAATGTATGATGGAAATCCTAGAGAATCAAAAGTTTTCAAATGTTACAGTCTTTGAAAACCAGGCCATTATACATTACCTCATTATTTAGTGCCACCTGTGATAAAATGGAAGGTTCCCAAATTACATATAACTCAAAAGATCTCACACTTTTTGTCTCAAATACCTAACTAGCAGCCCAAGTACTTGCTGTTTCTGCATATGTGAATTCATTGACATACTAATTATATTTCTTGGATTGAAACTCAAGAACTCACAAAAGCACATCTAGGCATCAATTTTTGATAGATTATAAAGCAGCCTCACCATTTTACGGTCAAGGTATATTCAGAACACCAATTTTCCCTACCTTCAGAGGTAAGGTGGCTGATTAATGGTGAGAGGACCTTTTCAGCAATGTTGTCTATCTGTAGATATAGTCTGTAGATATCTCCAGATATAATCTACATTACATTACTACCAACCACTAACTTCAGAATCCCTCACCCCCACTTAAAAAACTCCCCACAACATAGAAAAAGCTATTTTACACAACTCATTCTTTTCCCATAAGCCTTTGCTTAATTTCTTCTAGTTTACCTGCTATGCTGAAGTCATGATTCCATTTCCTCTTACCTTATTCTCCATGGACAGTTCTGTCCCCAAGGTGTTGTCAGTGTTCCATTTCTGAGTGAACGTAAGTCCATAGTCCTTGAACTTATATTTGGTCTCTAGGCTGCCTGAGGCTTTGCCTGTGTCTGTGTTGGAGGAACCAGTGGTGATAAATTCCTGTAAACATACCACATTTGAATTACAATGCAATCATGTTTTAAAATGAATATGCAATTCCAGCAAATCATGCAAGCTTTAGTTCCGCCTGCACAATATGCTTTATAATCACCCTGTAACATTTATTCACTGGATTTCATGGTCCTACCACATCTAACTTCTCCTTTCTGATGTCTGGAACCAACAATTTAGCAACAAACGCTTCATAAGGTACAAAAAATTACAATATATTGGGTGCTAGACACAGCCACCAGAATGTTCACTGAAGGGCTCTCTGATAATACAGTTTCAATCTTTCCTGATCAATATCCTGCCCTACTTCCAAATATTCTTTTAAGTAATCAGTTTGTGTGCATAAAAGAATTACACATTTGGAATCTTAATACACGGCAACAGAAGTTGTGTTACATGAGGCTAATACTTCTTTTCTTCAATAGTGTTGAAAGACTCATACTGCAACTGCTCCATCGACCATCTTAATGGAGCTTGCAGACCACCATTTGAGAACCTATGGTCTAGGTCATTACTGTTTATTTATTTATTTAAAAGCATCTATAAACCACTTATTTTTAAAATGAGCCTTGCATATCAGGCTATATTTGTTACTCTTCAACAAAAAACCCTTCTAGTCAGCTTGCCTACAGTATGCCTTTGTTGGCTATTTAGAGCCGAAGAGGCACACACAGACACCTATAAGCTTTTGTGGCCACCTAAAGCTTATTTTTATGTGCCACAGGAATCAGGCAAGTAGCTGATGATCAGGGTTATAAATAGCCAACTGCCTAATCTAAAGTTATGAGTCTGTGGGCACAGCCCATCTTTTTAGGTTATTTTTGTACAGTGATTAGCTTCTTGGTGCTAGATGCTAATGTTGCCTTAGATACTGTACAATTTCACACACATACAAGTGCCTGACCACAACTTACAAGCTAATGAGGAAGAGAAGCAATTGGAAAAAAGAAAACAGGAAGGCAATTTTAGTTCAGAAACATGGTTCAGCTTCAACACAGATTTTCCCTGGCTTAAGAAGGATATGACATTTTGGGTAACTTTGTGTGTGTGTGTGTGTGTGTGTGTGTGTAGCGGCCAGTTAAAAATAATTCCTAGATCCTCTTTAAAAAGGTTGAGCTGGCGCCAGTGGAGGAGAAACATTTCATTTAACTTTCTTTGTTTGCTGAGTGGGGAGAAAAGAAAGAATCTTGCAGTCATATGATCAGACCAGGATTTTCCTGGCAGCTGCAACAAGATCTGAGTGGGGAAAGCAAGAGTGCACACAACATATGTTACTTTTCATCTTACAACTGTCATATGTGATGGTTGCTTAGACCCCCATATATCTGGAGTGCCAAGCTCCACTTAATCTGAGCCAATCCCCAAATTCTGCTTTTGACGTGACATTTCTGTAAAGCTCAGCACATACATGTGAAGTTATAGGTCTTCATGACGTCAGACAGATCAAAAAGGAAGGCCACAGCAGCATAGAGGCCTTCTAGCTTTACATGATTTTGTTGAAACACATGATGGCCAGGAACGTAACCCCTGCATAAGATGCAAGTTACCTGTACTGTGCAGTTTGCAGAAATAAATTTTCTGAAACAATTGAGCAGAACTAGAATACTAATGGTCAAAGGGGTGGCGCATGACAACCAACAAACACCTTGGGAAGGAATAGAGCTCCAAGGAGGGCAATGAAGTGCCACACACCACACTAAAAAGTCTTTCCATGATCCCTGCACTTAAGAGCCTTCAGAAGATGCTGCTCACATATCTTCAGCAATATGGATATGCATAAGAAGTCCTGTCATTATAAATATACAAACTGCTGCAACTTCCAGGACCACCCTCTTTTCATATACAGTAGCACCTCTAGATACAAACGGGATCCGTTCCGGAGCCCCGTTCGCATCTAGAAGCAAACGTAACTAGCGATGGCACGACTGCGCACGCCGCTTTTCGCCGCTTCTGCGCATGACGTCATTTTGAGCACCTGCGCATGCGCAAGTGGCAAAACCCAGAAGTAACGCACTCCGTTACTTCCGGGTTGCCGCGGAACGCAACTCGAACGCAACCAAGCAAACACACACACACACACACACACACACACACACACAGCGTTTAGGATTCCAAGAGGACTTTTTTAAAAAAGCTCAAGTCCTGCTGCAAGGTGAGCAGGGATGCTACTGGCTGGATGGGGAGCTCTCCATGAGCCACCAGTTCCTCACCAACTACTTCAGAGATTTAGTCACCAAGTGATACTACTCAGAAATACTAACTTCTAAATTTGAGGCTATCAAAAATAGCATGCCTGTGATCACACTGCTGTCTCCAATTCTTTTGACAGTTCAAGTGCAAATGCTACTGATGTATGGAGCTGTACACAATGCAACATTTAGTGTCTGGTTAACCACATTTACAGGACGCGTAACCTTTTACCTTTAACCACATTTACTTAGCCATTAGAATGGATTAGGAATGGCAGTGGGTCATGGTCCAAGTACACAAACCTGAAGGAGAGATATATAACAAGAAAGCAAATACGTGGTTCTCTTACCAGCTGAATAAACATCCAAAAATCAGTGTTGCATGTAAAAGGGAGAAGTCACGTTAGAAGTTAGCATCTTTAATAAGTCAGTAAAGGTGAACCAATCCAAGTATCCATACTGCCACTTCCACTTGCAGAGTCAGATTGTTTAAGCCATAGTTCTAGCTCTAAACTCCTTCAAATGATTACCTCTCCCACTACAGCTATTCTGAACATGGCAGACAAGTGGACAGGTCATTTGTCACCAGTCCAAATCCTTTCTTCACAGTTTACTAACAGCTGTTCTATGAGATGTCAAGCACTCAGGAGTCAAGCCTCAAAACACTAAAGCTAATACTGCATGGAGGGGTCCTAAGTATAACCTTCAGGACACCCAAAACATACAGGAGAAGCAGAATGTTAGGTGTGTACATTGACTCTGCCAATGCTGTAAAGGTAATATTAGTGCTCCACAAACTCTCCTGTTGCAACAATAATTCAAAGTACTCATTACTTACCACTCCGCTGGAAGACTTGGTCTTCAACTCTAGCTTAACCATTCCAAACCCTGAAATTGCCAAAACATTAGTTTCTTATTTATACCACAATAAATGAATGAGAAACAAAGCCCAAGAAGTAACAAATTGGGTGCATCTGCCTTTAAAAGGTGCTTGTGATGAGCACCAATAAAAAGAGAGGCCAGCTTAGCTCTAATGGAAATTCTAGGAATCACTTGACAGAGACCCACAGATTTTGGCAGGCACTGGCAACATCTGGTTGACTGAACAACTCTGACTCAGGGAACTAATGGCTTCCCATCTCTTTAGAAGGGTCCTGTTGGATCAGATCTAGCACTCAACTACCACAGCAGCCAAACAGATGCCTATGGAAAGGCCATAAACAGGATGTGAGTACATGTTCACTTTTTGGAATTGTGCTAAGATTTGGACATTTTGGGTGCATTTTAAGTACAGTACCTCCAAAGAACAGCTCAAAGACAATCAACAAACCCCTTTAAACTCAGGGAAACTGATATGGGGCTCACCTATGTTATGCCACACTTCATATTCTCAAAATTCCACTAAAGTTGCAGCGTTGCTGCAGAGACAATCCCAGAGCTGAATATGCAAGCCAATATGTGGCGCAGAGCCCGCTTTAATAAGCCTAAAGGGAGCCAATAGGAGGTTCCATGCCAGTTTGTGAAATCTGCAATCACCATAGAATGGAGGCCCTCATCCATCTTGAGAGATTATGGACAAAGTCAGATGAGGAGAGTCAAAAGCAGAAGACTGAAATGCAAGTGTTGCAGGCACCAGCTCAAAACCAATTGATTCATCTGAGAATTTAAGAGATGGGCTGTCCTTCCTGCTAGTGCTAGTTTTTAGCTAGTTGTGTTGCATTTTTGGAGAAAATGAATATACACTTTAAATAAAATATAGCATTTAAATAAAACAAGCATTAACTAAAACATCAAGGGATGAAAGCAAGGCCATCAATCCAATAAAAACTTTTAAGGATGGATGAGAGATTGATAGAGTGAAGAAGGATAGAGAAACTAAGCGAAGGAGCAAGAACACTTCAAAGCTGTGAACAAAAATATGCCATTCTTAACACATCTGAAGACCTTTAACAACAGATTTCCAAAATATTTAGAGAATATATGCATAATGCTAGCATTTGTGGCAATAGTCCTGCTTACCATATCCTTTGTTGAATACATCCCTGGCAGATTTCCCCAGGTCACAGTAGGATGGTGGGATAGCCATGGGGTCTGGAAGAAGCAAAAAAAACAGTACATATTTGGAAATAAATGAGCATGTATGAACACCATTCTCAGCAATTTCTTGCCACTACCTTACATGTCACATATGATGAAGAACCATGAGTCTATTCATAAAGCTTCCTTTCCAACTATCAAGAATTTTTTCGAGGGCAAAGAAATAATCCAAAATTTGATAGAAAGATTTAATAGTTTGAGTTCAATAACATATTTATTCCATGGCACAGTCTGCTAAGCCAACAACTTCTTTCTCTTGTGTATGGTTCCAAGAGCAACAGAATGGCTCCTTTGTATCAACAGCTTCCTCATCAACCTTAAAAGCCTTTGATCCAAAATTCATATTGGCTCCCCCCACCCCACTGCCACCCACAGAAAATTGCCAGGCTTGTGGGAAGTGACAAGTCTTTTTACAGCAAGGCCAAACTCCACTAAAGATACTTGCTGCTTGATTACTTGGGGAAGTAGTTTCGTTGCATTATTCCCAACTCCATGTACTGGAAAACCTTGTCTTAAGGAAATAAATTTAGTGATGAGGTGTTGACCTATTGGGCTGTACAGAGAAACTTATGCATAGCTATCTTGCTACTCTCAAGCTTCTATTTCCATTTCCCCCCTAAAGCATAGCAGGAGTTCTTCTGAACTTTGCTGAAGAAGAAATCTATTCTTGGCACATTCCTCTCCAATGTCACCTTCAGGAAGATAGCAGTGGTCAAAACGCAGAACTGCTATGCAAGTCTGACATGTGGGATATCAGCAAGCCAGCTTTGTGCTGCTGGATAACATAACTCTTGCTTTTAAACACATCATCTTAGTATTAAGGTTCTAAAAAATTTTCTTTAATATCTGAACTTCCATATACGTATAGATACCTGGGGGTCTAGCAGGACCACAGCTGAACATGGTTGCAGACTTCTTATTTCACAATTTAGCTCCTAAATCATTTACTTCTCAACGTGAACCTACAGGACTCTCCTCTAGCTCTTTGATATACACCTGTCAAATATTGGGGGGGGGGGGGGAAATGCATGCATCATTAAAGATCAAAGCTATCACTTATAATACCTGCAACCACTACTTTTATACTCACTGTAACACAATGTTTATTCCAAACCTTCAAGGACAGCATGACAGGCAAACTTTTAAAAAAATACACATTAATTAATATCACTACTCTACTAGGTTTAACCCCTGAAGGGAAGGAGCCGCTTCATATAAGTCCAGAGGTGTGAAAAGCATGTATGTGCAATATGTGGGGGATAGGGACAGGGAGATATGTGGGCATGTGCACTGGGAAACTGTTTACTACTGGCTTCTCAAATGTACACGTAAGTTATACATAACATTCACATACGACAGGTCTACTTGAAGAGACCCTTACCTTACTATACATCAGACCAACCTTTCCCTTGGAAAAGGGAATATGACACCTATGATTACCATTATCAAACGCCTGCCAGCTATAGAGGCTCCAAGCCTCCTGCTTGGGGAAAAAGGGAGTATCTGTATGCAGTCAGCTCTTGTAATTACTGGCAGCAGTGCATTCTGAATTCAGCCATTCAATTCCTAATCCAGCTCTTCAGTTCATTCAGGTGAGTCAATTCTTTCTATAAAGTAGATTCACTAAAAAGCATGGATCCAACCTAAGCCCGACCATTCTCTGTGTCTAATTCTTTCAATAATAAATCATGGTTCCAAGCTTTCCTCAAGTTCAATTAACATTGATTCTGGAGGTATTTCAAATCAGCCTCCCCATTTTATGCAGAATGTGTTAATCTGGACTCTCCAAGTGGAGATGGCTTTTTATTTTATGTTTGTCTGCTTGCTTCCTATATGCCTCTCAAAGTATTTTTTACCCCCCTTCAATTTCTTCTCCCTTTTGCTTTCACATATAATTTGTGCCCTATTCCCACCCCCAAGTACAGGCAATTTCTTCCATCCCTCCTCCCTGCTCCTTGTACATTCACTTCCTCCTAGACCAGCTACCCTCTCTATTCCCAGTTTATCATGACTTTTAGAGCTGCTGCTTGCATCTGTCCCCTGTGAGAGGGGGTGGACTGCAGTGCTAACACTGATCTGGAAGTGGGCTAGTTCTTCTTCTTTGGCGATCACTCGTAGCTGAGTAAGATTGTCTTCCATGAACACGGTTTTAACAATGAGGCCCTAAGTGACTGTGGAGGCCAATTCTGGATCCACACGTCCTTTCACAGTGGGGACATTGGTTTCCGGGGGGGGGGGAGTTTATCACGGAGAGAGTTTGCCAAGCGTGCCTTCCTCTTAGCACATTTCTCCCTTATGTCCTGAGTTTGAGTGTCTTCAAAGCCCATGACACCTTTGGTAAAGGCTGTTCTCCAACTGGAGTGCTCGCAGGCCAGTGTTTCCCAGTTGTCAGTGTTTATACTACATTTTTTTATATTTGCCTTGAGACAGTCTTTAAACTTCTTTTGTTGACCACCAGCATTACACTTTCCATTTTTAAGTTCGGAATAGAGTAGTTGCTTTGGAAGACAATCATCAGGCATCCGCACATGACCAGTCCAACGAAGCTGATGTTGAAGAATCATTGCTTCAACACTGGTGATCTTTGCTTCTTCCAGTGGGCTAGTGCCCATGGTGGTCCCCAGTCCTCAGTTTCAGAAATTATGATCTATACTAATTGGCACCTATAAAAAACCCTTGTCAACTGAATGCAAGGCAGGAAAAAGAAAATGTCTGAAGACATTTATACTCCCAAGAAAGACAAAGCTACTAATCACCAGTTTTCTTTTTCCCAACCCTGGTGAAATTCTGTACTGTGCCTCCATCATTTCAGCCTAATATAATGTTTTACCACCAAGCCAAGCCAGCCCAATGAAAGATACTGACCTACTGTGTGCCATCCATGTACATTGTAGTATTGCACTTTAGGAATATTTTAGATAAGAACAATTTGTATTGTTGTAGACAGAATAGTTTTCAAAGGTAGCATTAGAAGCAATAATTATTATTTTGTTCTTTTCTTTTTGTTCTTCCCAAGATTTTTTTTAAAAAAATTCACAATACAATAAAATTGTATTCAGAAACATTGAAAATAGCGCCCATAATAATAGTAATCATCATCATCATAAAGTTTATTTACATCTTGGCTTCTTCCACCCCCTGCCTCAAATAAGAGATTGTATTTTTAAGGAAATTAAATTGTAACATATTTAGCATTATTGATCTGCAGTGTTGCAGTTTTGAGACTAAGAAATCAGTGGAGAGAAAACCAGAGAACTAATTTATTGGCTTTTATAAACATATTGTTTCATTCACGATTATGTTTTTTAAGTTTTCAAATTGAAGCCCACTCTGCTTTCAATTAATGTGCTATTTCTAACAGGTTCCCCAATTGGTTAATTTTCAGCTGAACCAGAAGAGAAGGCAAAAGAGTTATTGCAAGAAAGCAGTACTGAGTTATGTGGGGGCTTTGTGCTCCAACCAATCCTTGGGACTACCACCTGCCAGGGTCTGTACAGACTTAACATCCATCAGGTGTAGTGCCCAGCCAGCCTGTATTGATTCACACCTCAGCCATTTCTGTATGTGCCAATGCCACATACTGAATGAAACATGGACTGGATTTTCATATTCCAAAACTGCAATTGTTGTGCAGCTTTTCAAGAAGTTGCAGTCAAATGCCAGGCATTCAGACATCAAATCATTCCAAGTTCAGTGCTGGCACCAACATATCCAGCATACTTAGTGTGTGGCTACTCACCTGGCTGCATAGCACGACTTTGAGAAGCTCAAAGGCTACTTCTGTCATCCCCAGCCAGCATGGCTATGCTGTCTGGAGTTGATGGGAGTTGTAGTCCAAAATGTCTAACAGGCAACAGGCTGATGAAGGCTGAGCTAAGACCTGCCTGTTTACAGCTCTCATACAACAGGGTTTAAAGTAAGCACTCAAAACCACCCAACCACTTCTCCAGTCTATCCTGGGTGTAAAAAATTGCTTCCTTGAGACAGTGACAAAATTCACTTTGATATCTATAACTATGATAAGGTAATATTGGCCTCTCCTGGCAAATCTGCCTGCCAATCCAATGCTCCTATTATCTTTGCCACTCAAAACGTTTCCTATAGCTCTAAACCAACTTCCTTGTTAGAGATAACATTTTAAAAGGTTGGCATTTCAGAAGGAAACCAAAGCAGCATGAGTTTAACCATACTACCCTTTCATTTTCAGCAGCAGCAGCTCCCTCTTTGGAGTTGCTCTGCAAGGAATCACAATTAGAATGACCATGAAGAAGAGAGGTAAGCACGTGTGGATGAACCTGGGCACACAAGACTGCAAGAATAGATATATACACTTGAGCAAGATTGAGAGGTGCTACTGAATGCAGTCCACCTGCAGATTTACAATAGTCCTGGAAGCCAAAAGAGCCGGGCAACTCCTATGTCCACCCAATACAATCATTGTGGGGTTACTACAAATTTCAGGAGGCATCACAGACACACACAAAAAACCCTATGGCCACAGCACTTATTGTGGAATTATCAGTATGGAACTTCCCACCCTTAGTTCTGCATCAAAATAGTAGTATTTTTGTTTAAAATAAAATGCCCAATTGCTGAGATTCCAAGCAATTCCACTGACATTTTCACAAATGTGACACCTCAGGAGATTTCACAAAAGTTGTATGTCTATCTACAACTCTCATGCTTCCATTTAATGATGGATGAATAGGAATTCTGTATATGCTCTAATTCAGTTATCGCCAGGACTTAAGCTTGCAAAGATTTACTTTTGAGTCCAGTTAAACATTGCTCTCTCTTACATCCATAACTTACCAGCATGTCTGTCAGACATAGATAGTGGAGGCCTTGCTTAAAATTCTTGCTCAGCCTCAAAGCTCTTTGGATAACCATCCCCCTCCAAATGAGGGGGCAGTACAAGCTATCCTGAGCTCTTTGAAAGAGATCAAAGCAGAAAATACCATGCATGTACAAATGAGCATCACCATCTCAAGACTCTCTCTGTGCAGATTTTAAAATCTATGCTTTTCAGAGGAAGGCCAACACATTTTTAAACCAAGCCACTGAATTCCAATAAGCCTACTAACAACTGCTGACACCATGCAAGTACAAACCACCTTTAACTGTGGTTTTATTGTCACATATTCCTTTTTGCTGTTACCCAAAAGCAGAGTTAGAAACGCAGATATGTAAACTAATTGCCAAATGGCACCTTAAACCTGGGTTACGGTCGCCACAACAGAATATCTAAGCACTATCCTTATTTCTATACTGCTTTACATTTTAAAGAAAAAAAAACCCTAAATGATATACAACACAACACATTAAAACATCAAATAAAACAATCCAGAATAAAACAAATTTAAGCCTCAAGGAAAATATTTCAGATTCTTCTCTAAGTGACATTTTGCTTTCCACATATTTATTTACCTACTTAATTTATAGAGCTGCCCCATAGCAGAAGTACTTTAGGAAGCCAGTGTGGGGTAGTGCTTAGAGTGCCAAACTAGGACCTGGGAGATCAGGGTTCAAATCCCTACTCAGTCATGAAGCTCACTGAGTGAACATGGAGTCAGTCACAGTCTCTTAATTTACCTCAAAGAGTCATAGTAGGGATTAATTGGGGGTGGGGGGAAACCATGTACTCCTTGGAGGAAAAGGTGGGAGATAAATGCAATAACTAAGTTATTCTGCCTACCTGCTTAAGAAAGCTGGAAGGGCCAGCCAGATGGAGATGTCAGTTGCCACCTGGCATTCAAAGATCTCCATGTGGTCACAACTGGACCTGCACAGTTCGCAAAATGCACCTGATGCCTGGCTAATTTTGAACACTGCTCAAAAGAAGAGGAAGAAAACATAATAGCTTGTGCTTTGCACAGCAAAGGTCCTAGGTTCAATTTCTTGGTATCTCCATTTAAACAAAAAAGGAGGATCAGGAAGCAGGTGATGTTAAGCCCTGGAGAGTTGCTACCAGTCAGAGGAGACCATGATGAGCTACACCAGGCTCCCATCACCCCTTGCTATGGGCCATGCTGGCTGGGGCCGATGGGACTTTCAGTCCAGCAACATCCGGAGGCCACTACATTGGCTAACCCCGAACTAGACTGATAAAACAACCCGATCCCACACAAAGCAATTTCACACATTCCCATAGTTCACCTGTCAATAAACTGCATGTGGAATTATTAATTGCATCTTTATCACCCCACCATCACTACTTGTTCTCTAAACAGTGTTCAAAATTAGCCAGGCGCCAGACTACTGGCCACTTGTGACCAAGTGAAGCTGCTTGGGCATTGCCAGGATGGTGCCTGACATCACCACCATCTGGAAGTGCATACCTGGGAATCTTGGGGTCTTAACTGTTTTCACACACTAATGCCACATCTTGCAGAATTCTATCAGTTACATTTTATCTGCACAATCAGAATGAATTTCAGGAACCAATATGCTTTTTCTGTGCAGCCTGAGAAGGAGCAGTGAACAATGTTATAGTGAATTGCTGCTTGTCTTCACTTACCCCAACCCATAGTTCACAGTTGTGAATAATATTCTTATGTTACGAATGGTCTGTTACCATTATGAAAAACAGGTTGGAATAGGCTACAGCTGCTGTATTTCAAAAAGTGAAAATCCGGACACACAAAAAATACCACTTTTGAGCTATTTTTTGGGGAGATCAGCAAAAACGACACTGCTGACATGGCTTACCATACATCTGGATTCTCCCAGACATTTTGCCGATTTCCGCGGGGACAGTGCTTCCAACTACAGTAGTCCCCGAAATTCTGGACGTATGGCAACCCTAGAATAGGCCGATATATATGTGGGCTATCCCTGGATAAAGTGACTTTTCTTCTTTAAGCTCTCAAAGTTCTTAACCTAGCTCAGGCTTCCTCAACCTCGGCCCTCCAGGTGTTTTTTGGCCTACAACTCCCATGATCCCTAGCTAGCAAGACCAGTGGTCAGGGATGATGGGAAATGTAGTCTCAAAAAAATATCTGGAGGGCTGAGGCTGAGGAAGCCTGACCTGGCTCAAAGTTGTCATCTGTTAGCCAGATGTTTAACTGATAATCAATCATGATCAGTCCATCATTTGCAAAATAAAGACTTTAGAACAGTCTTGCCCCAAAATGGAAACCAGATGTTCTGTTCTGGTGGCTATAACCTTGGTTTAATGAGCCATTTGGTGTCTAGCTTATCTATCTGAGTTTCCTCTAAAGAGCTTGAGATGGCAGACAAGCCTGCACACTTTAACCTGACAACAACCCTGTGAAGCAGCCTATGCAGAGAGATGGGGGGTGGGGGTGGGAATCCCCAAAGCCATCCAGTGAGCAGAGATTTGAACCTGTGGCTTCCTCTTGCTCTTAAAGTTTTTTCTCTGGAACGCACTTGCAGAATAAAAATTTGCTGGCACCACACCGATTTTTTTATCGATGAGAAATACATTGGAAAGCACGATTAGCAGTGCCCTCGGTATCTTGACACTTGACAGTCTTGATCTCAAACTGAAACTATTCCGCAAGTAAATTTTTTAGAAAAATACTTTGATGCCATAATATATCATACTACACTGAAATGTTCAGATGCTGCCCTTGAACCTTCCCGCCCCGCCTGCCAGCTTCTCCCTTTGGGTTCTGCTGCCTCAATTTCTTCATTGGTTTTTATTCTGCTCATTTTGTATGCCGAAGATCGCAGGGCGCTTCACACCGCCAAATACACAAGACGCCGCCGCCGCCGCCCCCTCCCCCCTGCGAGCGCGGCCTTGGCAACAGCCCTCAGGCGGCCGGCGGGCGGGCGGGCGGGGGCTGGAGGCCCGCCCTCAGAGGTGCCCCTCGCTCGGCAGCCCGGGAAGGGCGGCGGCGGCGGCGGCGGCGGCGAGGGGCAGCGCTTCCCCACAGGCCCTCGGCGCCCCAGGCCAAGCCGGGCCCTCTCCGCGCCCTCCACCCGAAGCCTCAGGCGGCCCCGCTCGCCGTTGCGAGGGCGTCGCCGGGCTCCTCCAGCCGCGAGCCGCCTTCCCTCGCCTGCCTTCCCTCGCCGCGCACCTCAAGGGCCGCCGCCGCCGCCTCCGCCTCCTCCGTCAGTCCGTCCCTCCTTGTCAAGCTGAAGGTCTCCGTCTCCGCGCACTGCGCAGGCGTAACGCTCGGGGCCCGGCTCTGGCCCCGCCCCCTTGCCGGAGCTTGCGTCTGCCTCTGCCCCGCCTCTCTTTCTCTCGCGTCATCTCTGCGCAAGCGCACAGATTCCTTCCGAGGCGCAAGGGAGGGGCTCCCTGGCCGCCTGCTGTGCGCGGAATCGCCGAAGGGGGAGGGACCCCGGGGGTCATCTAGTCCAACCCCCTGCGAGGCAGGAAACGTTTGCTCCACGTGGGGCTCGAACCCACAACCAGGAGATTAAGAGTCTCACGCTCCGCAGACTGGCCTGCCCCCGTTTTTTTGTTTTTGATTTTCAGTTACAAATAAATTGGAGATAAAAAAGGAGAACAGTAAAGATAATACCAACAATAACAACATTTGTCCATTTATTCCTGCTCTGCATTGTCTCGTTTCTTAACCAATTACTGAGTCACAAGAGAACTGTTGTTCTATGACTTCTAAGCTTAGGAGTTTTTGGTGAGTTACTTTGTCCAAAAAATTTGAGAGTCTGTGTACAGTGTCCACTGGATCACCTTTATACACATGTTGACACTCTTAAAAAGCTCTAGTTAACAAGACATAGTAAACTCTTACAGAAGTTATACTAGTTTTCTTCTATATGCTTGGAAGTTCTATCTTTAACAATACTTTACACCAGTTTTCTTGGAACAGACATTAAATTAACCAACCAACCTGTAATTTCCAGCAAAAAGCCCCTGGATTGCTTTTTAAAAATGGTGTTCCCTTGACTGCTTTCCAGTCCTCAGAGATGGAGGCTGATCTTAGCAACAGGTTAAATATTTTTGTTAGAAGATCAGCAATTGCACATTTCTGTTATTTAAGAACTCTTGGGGGCTTGCCATCCAGACCTAGTGATCTGTTAGTTCTTATTTAAGAAGGCCCATTACTTTGATTTGTCTAATTTTGTGTTTTTGTTTTCCTCACTGGACGAAACTACCTGAGCTGCTAGTGCTTTGTATGTTAGTACCAACACCCTGTACATGGGCCAGCAGCAGATTGGCAGGCAGTGCAAATCCTGAAAGCATGGTTTAATATCCTGGCAGGAGGGAGTGGGTGGCACTGTGGTCTAAACCACTGAGCCTCTTGGGCTTGCCGATTGGAAGGTTGGTTTGAATCCATGCAATGGGGTGAGTTCCGATTGCTCTGTCCCAGCTGCTGCCAACCTAGCAGTTCGAAGGTACGCCCAAAAGTGCAAGTAGATAAATAGGTACCGCTGCAGCGGGAAGGTAAACGGCATTTCCATGCACTCTGGTTTCTGTCACAGTATCCCATTGTGCCAGAAGCGGTTTAGTCATGCTGGTCACAACTCAGAAAGCTGTCTGTGGACTGGACCTAACCGTCTAGGGGTCATTTACCTTTACCTTACCTTGTATCCTGGCTGAAGCCTCCTGCCCAACCTCAAAGAGTAGCCCCATATAGAACACATTACTGTACAGTAATCCAATCCAATGCATGGACAGTTGTGTCCAAACTATCCCAATCCAGGAATGGCTCCAACTATCTTACCAGCCTAAGCCATTTTAGCAGTCTGAAGTGGTATTGCCCACCCAACACTTCGGTCCTATCACCTCATTTATAGAACAGGCATCCAAAGGGTATTCTGCAGAGGTGTGTCTGTCATGTCAACATCATTTAGCAATATACCTGTGTCTATGATTTTATGGGCAAAGGAACAATAGAGATTTTGGGGGTAGGGAAATGGTAGATGGAATCAGCCAAGGAGAGGCAGAGCCAACTTAGTTTTGTGCCCCTGCTCCTTGCTGCCGAAGAGTGCATCAGGCCCATCTCCTCCAGCATGCCATCCCCACAGGGGCCACAAGCAGGACCTGAGTGCAACAGTGCTCCCCCAGACTGAGGTTCTTGGGGCTGTGTCCCATTTGCCCAAACAGACCAGCAACCACTGTGCAGAAATATTATGAAGTTGTTTTGTTGATCTCTGGAAACTGGAATTGCTTTGTATGGAAAGTAGGAGGGTTAGGCAACAGAGAGCAGTTGTCTTGTTTTTGTTTAGTAGTTTAAAATGACATGGGTCTAGATAATGACTGCTGCAATAACCCCTTTTTGACTTCCTGCTTTTATCAGATTTGAAAGCTCTGTAATTTGTCAGATTGATAGGTGGTAACCCTAATGCTAAACATGTAAAGGAAAGTGATGCAAGCACCAGCCTCCTAAAGTTGAAGTCTGCTATCCATTCTGTAGTCTCACAAATCTGCACAATGTATTCTTCGACATTTCTTCTGCAATGTTTACTATTTTGCATTATTTATTTTGATTTTGCTAGTTATGGGAAATGCAAGAACATAAACAAATTTTAAACCTTCTCTGTGGCTTCGGAGATTTCAGCAGGCATGATCCATATTTTCAAGCAATTTTCACAGCTATGAGGTCTAGAAACTTGTTTATTAAAAACAGAAAGCTGAGACACCCAGGAATCTGAACTCTGTACCTACTATTATATTCTGCTCTTGTGAAACCTTTATATATACACAGGGCCTCTCCAGAGTGATGTCTTTGTTGGGGGGGGGGGGTGACTTGATCATGGATGGAGGACTTGACCTGGCATGTGTAACAGACTTGGTTGGATGAAGTAGATGGGCCTATCTTGCCACTGCTTGTCTGCCAGCCTTCTCTTATGCACAGCAACCCGGGGGAGGGGTTTGCAGTGATTTTTAGCAAGTCATTAGCTTGCACCAGGCATCCTATTGGGAAGACCCAATTTTCTGAGTGCAAGTTCTAGAAGTTGGGCAATAGGGGCATTACAGGATTCTTTTTGGTGTATCAACCTCCCTGCTGCACCAAGGATTCCCTGCCCGAGCTGCTTCAGGTCATGGTGGATGTTTTCCTAGAGACGCCTAGTTTGGTTGTTCTAGGGGATTTTAACATCCATGCCAACACAACCTTACAAGGGGCCGCTCAGGACTTTGTGGAAAGCATGGCCTCCATGGGGCTGTTCCTGAATAGGTTTGGCCCAACTCATAGGCGCAGACATGCCATAGACCTGGTGTTCACCTCTATGGATGTGGGTGATCTGACACTAAGTAAAAGCAAAACAAAGTGCCATGGTTGGATCACTTCCTGGTGCAACTGGACTTCTTCACAACCCTTCCCCTCTGGGATGGAGGTGGAACTGATTTGGATGGTCTGCCCCTGCCACTTAATGGATCCAAATGGTTTCCAGAGAGTGGTAGATGTTTTATCCCATGCTGATGGCCTTTCAACCGATTCCCTGGTGGCCCGCTGGAATGTGGAGTTAACCAGGGCTATCGACTGTCTGGCTCCAAAGTGCCCTTTCTGATTGCATGGCGCCTGGACAGCCCCGTGGTTTTCCCCAGAGCAGAGGGCAATGAAACAATCACTGAGATGGCTAAAGAGCAAGTGGTGGAAAACTCATTCTGAATCGGACTGGACACGTCAAGCCTACCAAGTGGCGATTGTAATGGCGAAGAGGACCTTCTTCACCGCCTCTATGGCATTTGCAGAAAACAGCAGCAGGAGACACTTTTAGGTGGTTTGCAATCTAACGGAACCACCTTCATCATTGGGGCCTGGTAAGGCCCCCAGGATCTCCTGCAATGATTTTGCAAAGTTTTTTAACATCTATATGGAGCCACTGGGAGAGATCATCAGTGGGTGTGGGCTGGGTGTTCATTAGTATGCGGATGATACCCAGCTCTACCTCTCCTTTAAATCAGAACCAGTAAAGGCGGGAAATGTCCTGTGTGAGTGCCTGGAGATGGTTGGAAGTTGGATGGCAGCTAACAGATTGAGGTAGAATCCTGACAAGACAGAAATACTGTTTCTGGGATACAGGGGGCAGGCAGGTGTGGAGGACTCCCTGGTGCTGAATGGGGTAACTGCTCCTGAAGTATCAAGTGTGCAGCCTGGGAGTCATTTTAGACTCCCAGCTGTCCATGGAGGCACAGATCAACTCTGTGTCCAGAGCAGCTGTCTACCAGCTCCACCCCCATCATTCAGCCTGGACACTGAGGCCCAAGGGCCTTCTGGTGGTTCCCTCACTGCAAGAAGTGAGGTTGCAGGGAACCAGGCAGAGGGCCTTCTCGATAGTGGCACCCGCCTTGTGGAATGCCCTCCCATCAGATGTCAAGGAAATAAACAACTATCTGACTTTTAGAAGACATCTGAAGGCTGATGTAGAAGGGTAAAAATATTTTTTTTTAATTGTTGTTGGCATTGGTGATAATTTATTCTGCTGTATTAGTTCTGTGACACTTCCCCGATACATTATTGCTGTCTGGACAAGGTGTAGTGCAAAATACATGGGGGGAGGAACCCAGAACATTTGTGGTATTGTGGATTTTTTGTGGAATTTCAGCTGGGAAGTTTTCACCCACTTCTCTGACCCCACTGTGGGGCTGCCCACCAGATCTCAGGTTTAGGAAATCATTGTCAGTCTCTGCGCTCCGCTTCTCCTGTTGTGTCACTAGTCAGGCTCAAATCTTTTTGTACACTTTTATTTCTTTAAGCACCAGGGGGCAGTGCAGTGTCCAGCAATATGCATTGCCTCTTTGACATGACCTGTGAACTACTTTCAGTGGGCAGAACAAGATTAGTGTTTTACAAGAGCACTCAGGCAGTAATACCTTGGGGAAAGGGGACAAAATACTTAGGGTGACACGCTATGCCTGCCTGTTCCATTCAGTGCCTCTTCCAAAGGAGTGTATAGTCTTAGCAGGTTCACTGATTTTGCTGCTCCTTTTAGCAACCCGTTTCATTGCTTGAATTTTTGTTAAATGGCAGGATATAAATCCACAAGTAAATAATAAAGACTGCAAACCTATGCAAACTTAACTAAAAAAATAACCTCCACTAAATGCAATAAGGTGTTCTTGCTAAATGTGGTTCAGATCAAGCTGCAAAAAACAATCCGCTGGCAACTTTCCCAAAGGAAGCTGAAGGGCTGCACTGGGAAACCTTTGTCCCGGCACATGTGGTTGGATCACAGCTCCTGGCAATCCTTCCTGCTGGTCGCTGGACTCCAACGTGTGAATGGCCACCAAGTGTGGAAGGAGAGAAATGTGGGAACTAAAGTAGCATATCAAAGTGGATGGGTTTTTTTTTTACCTGGAAAGTGCTAGGCCTCGTTTTTTTCATCTACACCAGTTCCTAGTTTCCAGGGTCAATTCAAGATGCTGGTGTTAAGCCCTGAATGACCTGGGACTCCCGTCCATTCGTTTCCACATCTGAAACACTACACAACACCATGAAGAATGGTGGGCAGCCACAAGGAGCAGGTTTATTGCTTGAGTGGCACCCACTCTATGGAAAGACTTGCCAGTGGAGATCCTTTGGGCAACAAATTCTCTGAGCTGAATCTTTCTTCTGGTTTTTTAAAAATGCTGTTCCCAGAAGCTCTTTATACACAGACAAGCAAGCAAAACTGTTTCCTTCGCTTAAAATCAGTGGAAGAGGCCTTGTCCAGTGATCTACCTTTTGTGAATGAGAGCAACTGAGCTGATCAAGACTGCCTCTTCAAATGTATGGAATTCCCTATCTGGAGAGATTTGCCAAGCAACAGTGGTCTCTATAATATCACATGTAGAACTTATCTGCTGCTTTTGTGTGTTCTAAGTGTTTCATATCGATTAACTTATAATCCTTATAAGCAACCCTGTAAGGTAGGCAAGTAACACTACCTCTATATAGCAGATGAAAGGCTAAGGCTAGAGGGTCTTTCCTAAGACTACCAAGTGATTTCAGAGCAGAGGGGACTTAACACTCTGACACAGCTACAGGTCAAGACAGTCAGATTTTTAATGCATTTCCCAGCTACTGATAAGAGTCATTCAGTTTTTAACACGCAGGTGCCCGTATTGCTGTTTTCACGAAGTGTATCCCATGCAATCCATCACAACTGCTCTCTTCCAGCGTGGTCAAGGCAGTGCTTTTTCATAGCAAGTTGGATTAAAAAGGGAGGCTCTAGACAGCACTTAAAATAGCTCTATTATCAAGCAAGTCTCCACAGCCAAGATCCTCTTATGTTTGCTCACTGAAGTCCTATTCAGCAAAGTCTCCAGCAATGTTGAGTTTCCTATTTTATTGCTCCCTGATGAGAATAGCTGCAATAACAGCAATAAATTGCTGCTTGGGGCAAGGTGTAATCTTACAGATTCCCTTTCATTATTATTTTTTCTTAATTGCAGAATAAGAGCCATTTTGCTATAAAAGGGAAAAAGGGGGTGCTGAGGAAAGGAAACTTGTTAAGGGGCAAATTATAACTAATCCCCTAGTCACTGGAACGGAAAATATTAAAATGACTTGCAAGGAGAAATCTGTCAGTAAAAGACACTAATCCTAAAACCGAGAAGTTTGAGTTTCTGCATTCAACAGCCTAGAACTGCAACAGCATTTTGTTTCACTAAAATGCTGCAAATGAGGTCTGAAAAACAACAGAATAAATTTAATGCAATGAATACTTTAATGCACTGAAGTGTGTGAATGAATAATGGACATTCTATTTTAAAGGCGAACTACAAAATTAGTTTACAATGAAGCTTATTCTCAGAACTGCAGCTTCAGGCTACAATCCACCAGAAGGAAGGAGAGTACTCAGCCCAGGTCTGTATCGAGCCCATGATACAGAACTGTATTTAGATCACTCATTAGTTCACATTCCAGTACAGTAGCTTAGAACCAGGAGAGATCAATTTACAGGCCAGGCAAAGCGGAAATACTTCAGTGGTCTTTCCTTAAACAGTATTTCTGCATGTTCCTGCACTTACACTAAAATCTCACCACAGACACAAAGCTGCTGTTCAGACTGGCAGCTGCCACCAAGGCCTAGAAAGGATCTCATGGGCCTGCCTGACACACTTTAGAACCAGAGCTTTGGGGAAAGCAGCTTAAAGGCTTTAGCTGAGGAAGCAGTTTACAGGCAGTAGGTCAGGGACTGGGCTCCACCGACAGACAATGTGTGACAGGCTCCCACAACAATGAGCCTTTTTAAAAACAGCACTGGTTGCCTGTTTGCTTCTAGGCCCAATTCAAGAGGCTCATATCCATATAGTTGGGGTAGCAGAGTCATGGCTTGCAGCTAACAGCCTTATTCTCCATGATGCCTTCCTGGAACTAGGGATTACCCCCCCCCCTTGATGTCACACTGGCCTTTTTGCAAATATACTAGAAGCCCTGTTCAGATACCATGTCTCTTTCCCTACAAGCCCTCCTCACAATGTTAGTAATAGCAGCATTCTAGCAAGTTTGATTATCCTGAGCAGCACAGGGAATGGCAGACTGCGGGAAAAGCTTCTCCAAAATGACAGAAATCCCTCCCCACAAAGGTGCATCTAATGATTATTGTATAGCACCTGACATATGCTGAAAATGCACTTCAGGACCTTCAACACCGAATACATATTTCAGGGCCTATACTACTGTTCTGATGGCAAATAGTTTTGAACAGTGGGCCTTGGGCCACATTACTGTCATAGATGCTCCCTAGTGACTTTGCTGACTCTGCTTTGTCCAAAATTAGCCTTTTACCAGCTCCCATCATCCCCAACAGACATATGCTGCTCGTCCTGAAGCTTCCTAATGGAATGTTTTATACTACAAATGTTCCACTTGTGCCTGGAGGGGACCCCTAGATCTAAGATGACAGGAAGGTGGGGCTGAATGATGCCTTACAGCAACAAAGGAGACACAGCAGGCAACTGTTCCTGCTCAAATCTGAACCTGCCTGCAGAGGTAGAAGCCCATTAACTGCTGACAAAAGAAATGAATTTGGGCCAAATAGAGCAGGACAGCAACAGCCAGGGATCTCAACCATCTTCCTGCAATGCAGAACACTGGCAAAGATCTACATGTGCTCTCCAGTCAGTTACAGAACCAGTGGGCTTGGGCAGTGAGCTGAATATTCAACCCAAATGCACCACAGAATGTTCACCCTTATTGCACCAGGTTCGCAGGAGGGAATAAGCTGTACAATGCAAGAAAACTTGAATCCGAGAAAGTTTCTGGCTATCTGGAGAGCAGCATCAGTGAGCTCAATAAAGTAGCAGCTAGACAGCACACCCCACCATATGCAGGATGGTGCCATATTCAGCAAATCAACCTGCTCAAAAAATATGAATGGAATAGAAACATTTCAAACACTCAAAATAGGCCAGCGAAGTGGGTGGTATCTGAGAAGTTGGTTAGTACCTGCAACATCAAGTGGTATGTTCATACACCCTTTTTTCTTCTCACCTTCATTACTTTCTCTGTAAGTGGTACCTCGGGTTACATACACTTCAGGTTATGACTCCGCTAACTCAGAAATAGTACGAGTTACGAACTTCGCTTCAGGATGAGAACAGAAATCGCACAGTGGCGTTGTGGCAGCAGCAGGAAGCCCCATTAGGTGAAGTGGTGCTTCAGGTTAAGAACGGACCTCTGGAACGAATTAAGTACGTAACCAGAGGCACCACTGTAGTTTGCTGCCACAATGGTGGTGGTGCTACCGGCAGCATATGAAGCTTAGTTCCTTCCCCTTACAGCTCCAGGTGATCTATGTCCATAACTACTTGTCCATAGTTTTTATATGTTTGCTGCTTGCACAGCTGTTTTAAGCTGCCACCTGCATAACCAATTTTGCACAAGTTGACAACAGCACAGTGTGCATTCTGCAGGTGTGGATTCAGTCAAGTATTAAAATAATCCCAACACAGGTAGCGAAGTAAATGCATTGGCATCAAGCTCCAACTCAGGCATGACTTCATAAAGAATGGTGTGCATTCAAGAAACTTCCAAAACGCAAGTAACTTCATCCTGCTCAACTTTTGTTTCCCCTCTTCTGTATACAATGCCAGTTATAGCAAGAGCCTCTTATTCCTGATTTAGTACACCTCCAACCTTGACATTCAAACCAGAGACACACAACACAGTAAGATAGAACCTAGCACTTTATTAAGAACTTTAAAATCAACTTGGAATTGAACCAGACATACGTAATAAACGCCCAGAAAAAAAATTGGAACGCAAAAGGCACTTCCTGCTTAGGACACTTGCCATGGAATGGGCAGGTAAACAAGCTGGTTTCTCTGTACAACACCAGCCAAGTCAGCCTCTCCCAAGGCCAGTTATCCTGAGCACTGCCCTCCCCTGTTTTACACAAGCCAGACCCCCTGCAGGTTGTGACCCAAGGCTTTTCTGTAGGACACCTTGGCCTATCAGGGAATGCTGGGTACTGTCAAGGAATTTATGGTGTCAAAATAAAGTTAAAAAGCTGCCATTTGAGACCAGGGCTTCTCTGTACTCACACCCTATCCCAAACACAATAAATAAGCAAGTATAAAAAAATTTCAAGTATGTAGGGTTTTCCCCCACGTCCTTTCCAAATGTACTTACACTCTGAAGGGAACTGGCTTCTCTGTAGCTACGCCAGTACTTCAGAATGCAGTTTGGACCTGGCTTTGAAAATAAACCCTGGGAGTTTTGTGCAACATGAAATTCTTGGCTCTTCTAAAGAAAAAAATTCCAGGTGCCAAAAGTATGCAGCCTACAGACCTCAGGCACAACCCTGTGACTTCTCTGCAGTACATCACAAGGCTGGCCAAGGGCCCGCTTAATAAAAGACGGTGAGGTTTGGCTAGTGCTAAAACTGTGCATAGGATTTTTTTTATAAAAAAAACACCTTTATTACGTACATCCCCCAAGAAGATAAGAGCAGAAAATGATTAAGGTATGGTGCTGACTGATTTTAAGAGAATAATACCATGAGTTGTGGGACCAAAATTGCCTCAATTAAAAAACCACACAAGACTCGAGTTCCAAAATGGAACTTGCGGAGCATGCAGGGCCATCTGCTAAGGCGGCGATGACTCACTCACAAGAGATCGGGGGGGGGGGGTCCAATCATTGCACCATCCTGCTCTAGATATCTGGACAGAGACTATGTGAAACCACGCAGTGCACATTAGGAGAGAGGCATCTTACTCATTGTTGAAAGGAAATTCTCGTTAGCCTTTGGGCAACACAAAGGATTAGACTGAAGCACTGTTTTGACTACAGCCTGTTCTTCTGTTTTACATATAGCGCCTATGCTCAACTGGCTCTACACATACGTCAAGCACACCAGGAAGAGGAGAAAGCACAGTGCAATTGCGGTCCCCGGAGGACTAATATTCATGGCAATGGACAGAATGTGCCAAATTAAGAGCAGAGGACAGGACCAGTTTAGGGAATGGGGCTCTTTCCCACAGAAAAGCCTGGAGGTTTCTCTGTAATGCACACCAACAGGTCTGGGGAAAGAAGCCCAACATATTCAGTATTTAAGCTTTTTGGGCACTTCCCATGGGAAGTTGTCCCTACCAAAGTGGCCATAGGCTGCAGTCTTCTGATAAATAGGCCTCTTCAGATCCAGATCCCTGGAATATACAAGTCCGTAACTCAATACAAGGCATTTATCAAGCAAAGCAAAAACCAGCTACACTGAAGGGGCCACTTGATGTTCAATGCTGTAGTCCCAAGACATGGACCAACGGCTACTTTGTACACAGGAAGTAGATGGGACCCATTTGCTCCCAATTCTGGGTGCCAATGCAAATACATCCCAAGGAAACTAAGCCCCTGAGCTCAACTGACATTACAGAATACTTACCCTCCATTATGAGTGGCTACATCCAACTGTAGATCACCACAAGTTTCTCCACTGGGAATGGTACTCCCTATCTGAATAATCAGCTCATATTACAACCAAACCTGCCTACTTCCAGCTTGGAGCTTTTAGAAGCAGTTAGTCAGTGTAGGCAGCAGCACCACTCGGAACACCCACGTTTGCAGAGCTAAGCACCCACAACTTCACACTTTGATTCCAGGACAGTACAACATAGCTGGCCTTGGGCGTCAGTGGATGGGCCAAAATACCCAGAAGATCTCTGGAAAATGAGCTTTAATACTCAAAAGCACATAACTGAAGTGCCCAAGAGGAGTCTGTAATAACTCACAGAAATCATCATATCCCTGCACTATCCATACTTTCCAAATCAGTGCAAGAGCCACAAGGGCTGTGCCAATTTGCAAGGGTGGATTTAATATTACTGTATCTATACACCACTTGCTGCATTAAAAGAGAATAGCTTTTCAATCTTGGGTATGTATGCCAATGGTGCAACTCCAAACTGGCTGGGGATCATGGCCAGACAGCAACAAGCTACTTTGTTATCAGCCACCTTTGCCCCAAAATGTGCTATTCTAAGATATTTCTCATTTTCTGTGCCTTCCCCTGGCATGTCACATCATAAACTCTAATTTGCCTTACTATACAGTGACAAAGAGGCACAGACTAGCACACCATTCTGTTTTAACTACTACATATTAAAGAGCAAGCACTACTTTGTTTTATCTCTAGAAAAATGAACCACCCCAAAGCTCCTCTACAGCGGTGCTGGGGAACTGTCTCCACCACTCTCCAGGAGACTAGGTGTTTTGACAAGTGTCTATGGTAGGAGATTGTGCAACATCATGTACATTTAGGGCAGACTGCCAAATGGTAATGCCTTGTTTATGCCTAGTCCCATCCTTATTACCTCTTTTTTATCTGTCTGAATATTACATGCATGCACCACCATGTTTTACCTGACAATAACCCCTGGGCGGAGGTCAAAGTTCTTCTTCACAATATCTAGCAGCTCATGCTCAGTCTTTTGGGAGGTGCCGTAATGAAAAATGGAGACTGACAGTGGGTGGGCCACTCCAATGGCATAGGAAACCTAAGAGCAAAGTTAATATAAACCAAAAGCATTAAAATGTGTGGTTTCAGCTACTTTGTAGGGTATCCCATTTCTCTTCACACACCATTATTCCAGTATTTCCCTCTCAACTTTCCTTTCAACCCACACTCCCTGGCCAGTTGTTTTTACTACTAATCCTTAAGTTGTACCTCCATAATGAATTCTGAATGCTTATTTCATCCAACTTACCTTCCCTACTGTGCTTTGAAAAGACACGTAACAGCACAGCCACACATCAAGTTGGCCAATACTGCATGGCACCCAAGTAACTCTTGCCAGAACAGGAGTTGGAAATGTGGCATCCTCCAAATGCTGCTGGGATGCCCATGAGCCCCAGCAACCATGGCCTAAGTCTAGTCTAAGAAACCTGGCAAGGATTGCAATGGCCACTGCAAGGCAGCATTTCAGATTTACTGTGGCATTGATTACAGGTGCAAGAATCATGGGGGTGCTGGGTGTATTAATACAAGGACTGCATTTTTCAGAAGCAGCTGTTCTACAGCTGAGCATTACCAGACCTGATTTACATCTGCTGCATTGCAGCTGCCTAAAAATCATGAAAGTGCCAACTGTACACACTTCCCAGCTTCTAATAAATTGTGCAACTATACTATCAAAGTAACATCTTAAACCCCAAATACTCATTTGAAGAAAACACTAATGTTGCAAATCTTGGGAAAATGCATCTCATTGCCCAGAAACAACAGACTGAACATACCTGAACAAGCACTCTCCGACAGAGACCAGACTTCACAAGGGATTTTGCAACCCAGCGAGCAGCGTAAGATGCTGAACGGTCAACTTTTGTGTAGTCTTTACCAGAGAAAGCACCACCTCCATGAGCTCCCCAGCCACCATAGGTATCAACAATGATCTTCCGGCCAGTCAAGCCAGCATCTCCCTGAAATTGGCAATTTTGTTCATTATTTATTTGCCAACCTTCCTGCAGAGTCCATCTCATCTGACTGGACACAACACCACCTGTCTATAGGACTGGAATGAGGAACCTGTAGCTCTCCAGATTGTAAACTCGCATCAGCCCCCAGCCAAGGTGGCCCATGATCAGGGGAGGAAGTTTTAGTCCAATAACATGTGGCAGTTCAGAGGCTCTCCACCCCTACTCTATAGCAAGGCAAAGCTACCAGAAGGAGAACTGTGCTGTGTTTCTAGACACTAGAACTCTAGATGGCATATGGAGCAAAGGCATTTGATTTATCATAAAAGCATGATGCTTCTGAACTGTAACACTGTAGCTGAGATCTTCCAATAAGGTACCATCAATTGTACAGATTAGGCAAGGGACAAGAATCCAACCTTCATCATACCTGGGGGCCACCAATTACAAAACGGCCACTAGGCTGCAGGTGGTAGACAGTATCATCATCCAGGTATTTTGCAGGTACAACAGTTCTGACCACTTTCTCTTTCAGGGCATCCCTCATCTCATCCAGCCCAATTTTATCATCATGTTGAACAGAAATAACAATTGTATGGACTCTAATAGGGATGACTGCACCACGGTCTTGTCTGTACTGCACAGTCACCTAAAAGGGAATCAAGGAAAACATAATTTTTGCATTATTTCATGTCCAAGTGCTTCATACACTTTGATTGTAGTTTAAAAGGCCTTAATAGAAGATTGACTATGGTTTCCATTTTCAAGACCTTTCAATGTTAAGACAACGCAAGTTAAAGACAACATTTACCTGAGTTTTAGAATCTGGTCGTAGCCAGGGCAAGGTATGGTTACGACGAAGCTCTGCCAGTTTGGCGTTCAGCTGGTGTGCAAGGAGAAGAGTCAGGGGCATGCACTCTTCCGTCTCATCCGTAGCATAGCCAAACATCAAGCCCTATTTTTGTAACCAAACCAAGATATGAATTTCAGCTTCCTAAGGTGAAGTTTTAAGAATGTACACCACAAACAAATTTTGAGTAATCCGCAGCCTCTTATAACACTGACCTGATCCCCAGCACCAATGTCTTCTTCCTTTCTGTCAAGATGAACTCCCTGAGCAATATCAGGGGACTGCTGCTCCAGGGCAACCAATACATTGCATGTCTTGTAGTCAAAACCTAGGACACATACATAATGCTTGTAAGTCCCAATCTTATTAACACTCAACATTTCTATTCAAAATTAAAACGGCCAGAAGCAATCCAATCTGCTTACCTTTTGAGGAATCATCATAGCCAATGTGCTTTATTGTTTCACGAACAATTTTCTGATAGTCAACCGCAGCTCTAGACGTGATCTCCCCAGCCAGAAGGATCATTCCTGTCTTTGCAGCAGTTTCTGCAAAATAATACAGAACCAGAACTGTACAGAGTACAACTCAAAGTACAGAGGAGTTGCAGTTCTTTGACCACACTCCCAATAGATTCCATTTCTTCCCATAATGATCAAGGGAACTTACCACATGCTACTTTGGCATCCGGATCTTGTTTAAGATGTGCATCAAGGACAGCATCACTAATTTGGTCACAGATCTTATCTAAAATCAGAAACAGCTTCCATTACTTTTCAGACCTCAAGGTTGCCACTATTTCACATGTTAAAAAGTATTCAGCCAACACCCATGCAGGTTTGAGCCTTTTACCACTTTTTTCCTGGTATCATCAACCAATTAAAGAACAGCTGTTTGTGTCAATATGGAACTCCCTTCCCAGGAAAGCTTGATCTGCTTGTTTTCTGGTAACAGACATGGATAGCGGACTTTATAGGAGACCTTGGTTTAGGAACAGCCACTGGTTCCTGCTGACCTGTTGCAACTGCTAGTTTTGACATTAATGACTTATACCAACAATACAACAAAAAGACCTAGCATTCACAATTAATGGTTCAGCAGAAACCGTGGGAAGTAATTAGGCACCAATGAATGAAGTGGGGAAAATTATAATTAAGCAAAACTTGCCAATGCTTGATAGCACAAGTTCAAGCTTTCCTCATTCCCTCTAGACACACAAACAAAATTATCCTCAGAATTGCACAGGTGTCCCGCAGTTCTCAAGCTAGTTTTGGTTGACTAAACCTTGCAGCTCTCTGTATTTCCTACCCACTGGTTTCCACATGGAAACTGCACTGTTTGAGATGGAATTTTAATGCTGTGCATCCAAGCACAGTTTGCACCTTCAAGGTATACATGTTACCTTTTATTCTGCTGCCCTTATATTTGCCCTTTACAAATAATGCCTCACACCCAACCATGCATCTTGGCATTAAGATTCAATCGCTCCAATACTGCATTGATGACTCAGTTTCTATAAGCAGAATGAAAGGACCTGGTTACAAAACACCCACTCAATTCTGTAAAACTTTACATAATCTAATCCTACAGTTGTACCTGAGATCCCAAATGCCTTGGTACTCGGACGTTTTGGCTTCTGAATGCAGCAAACCCGGAAGTGAGTGTTCCAGTTTGCGAACATTCTTTGGAACTCGAACATCCAAGTCAGCCAATCAGAAGCTGCACTTTGGTTTCCAAACGTTTTGGAAGTCAAACTTCCGGAACGGATTCCATTTAACTTCCAAGGTACGACTGTACTTGCCATTTTGAAATTGGAACTGCTTTCAACCAGCAAAGTCAACCCACACTGCAATGAAATTTATTATAGAGCACTCAAGTCTGGAATGCCAAAATGCTTTACAACCCCTTATGTATGCTTCAGTGATCAACACAGCCTGACACATAGTCCTTAACAGTCATTCTTCAGATGTGATCTACCATTTCATTCAATGGTCAGGATTTAGCCATCTCGTTACCTCTGAGGCCTCAACGTGCCCCAGATAAGGCTCCCCCCCACCACCACTTCAGCTAGTGGTCTAGACACATGAAGCCTTTATTTAAGAGAAATATTTAACAGAAATTCTAAGGCATACTTCAAAAGCCATCAATTTGTTTAATGTGTATAACTGGTTACTGCCATAAGCATTGTCTGCACACAAGGCTGCAGGCTATAAATGCAGACTAGTGTCATCCTATATCTAATCCAGAGAGAACAAGATGGCAGTGAGGATAAATTACCACCAGCACAGGATTCCTAAATATGGCTAAGTCTGAGACAGAAGATACACAGCTGCACACACCACTAGTACTAAATGAACATTTTACAGTATTATAAAATAGACCTCCAGCTTGGAGTTCCACCTAAGCCAGAAACGAAGAAGCTCTAACAGCACAGATTTAGCAGTCGTGCCAAAGGTGGATGTTGCGCTTAAAGTGTTTATTCTATCAAGAGGTACTAAGTCGCCAATACAAATGCCTAATCTACATAAAGTTCAGTTGCATGACATACTCATTTGACCAGTTTCGCAGTATAAAGAACTTGAACATAGTCAGAAAGCCCAAATCAGAATATTTTACAGAAATTTAAACACATAAAAATAGTGGGCAATTTCTAAACAAGAAACTAAAATAGCTCCCTAGGGGACTGAGTTACAGAGGGAACAAAGGTCTAGCAAGTATAAAGAACAGGCACTTAGAATTGTGGATTTCAAAGTCAGAAGAACAGATGTCATTCACTGTGTCTTGGAAAACAGAATAAAAGCACCAGCGATGCTTTTCTGCCCTGTTCTCTGCATACTACTCAGGCAAAAAGAAGCCGGATATCCAGCAGTCGTCCCCCCAACTGAAAACACTACAAGGTGCTATTCTTCAATGGAGCCACATGGGTTCAATCACCACATGGCAGAAACAGGCGTTTCCTGCAGCACCTCCCCCACTTTCCTGCAGCAAAGGAAATGGCCAAAGCTGAATTCCCCTGCATCAAAGAGTCCTTGTTCCCATGCAGCCTCCTGGCAAAGGCTATCTTTAGAATAGTACAAAAAAGCGCATATGCCCAGCCACCAAGATCGGGGGCAGCCTTCTCCAACTCCCGCCCTCCCTCTATGCCTGCTGCAGGCTCTGCCCAGCGATCATGGCGGAGAAGGACAATGAGAGCGCAAGTCTCCTCCTCCTCCTCCAGCGTCGTTGGGCATCCAGACCGTTTTGAGCCGACAACGAAGTTTTCCGCTCTGTGTAGTTTTGAATTGCTTTTTGACTCTGTGTAACGTAGACAGATACGTGATTGTGCGTACTTACATGAAAGCCCACCTGCTTCTGTATGTAAAAGGCAGGCGCTTGGTCCTTGTCTCCCCCACCCCCGTTTTTACACGCGCGCGCTGCAGTTTTGCGCTTCCGGCTTCTTTCTTCCATTTCCACACACACAAAATCCCTTTTCTCAGGGGCTGCTCCCTTCCTACCATCCACCGTCCCTCCCAAGATCGCGCCATGCGGACACCACGTGGTCGCCTGCAATGCGGGGCGCGTCCCCGAAACCGAGCGGGAGCGCGCGCTCCGAGCCCGCTTTCACCGTCTCCCTCCCATGCCGCCATCGCGCACTTTCCCTTTGTTACCCTGCCCCCCCCCGCAATCCAGGGGGGCAGCGGGGAACCTCCCGCTCCTGTCCGGGGCGGCCGAGCGGAGCCTGGAAGCGGCGCCCGAGACCCCAGCCCCCCCCCGCGCGCCCTCGTGGCGCTGCCCCCTCCCTCAGCCGCCGAAACGGGCCTCCGAGAGCCAGCCAGGCAGCCGGAGGGCGCGCGCCACAGCACGGCAGCCAATCAGCGAGAGAGCGGCCGCCCGCCCGCCTGCCCCCCCTGCTCCTCCCCAGACGGGTCTTTCGCCCCCCCCCCCGCGAGGGCGCTCACCTGGGTGCCCCTCCCCCACCGACTCTGAGGTGAAGAGGAAGGTGCCCTCATCGATCCTGCTGTCGCGGAAACCGTTCATCATCGCGCCGGAGGAGAGTCGCTGAGGAGAACGAGGCGGAAGCGTGGTCGGAGCGCGCCGCGGAAGAGCCCACAAAGCAAGCGAGCGAGCGAGCGAGCGAGCGAGCGAACGCCGGAGAAGCGCGAGTGAAGAAGCTCTGGCCCCTCGCCGGAATGGAGGAGCCGGCCCTCCGGCGCGGGCCTTTATAGCGCCTGGCCCCGCCTCCTCCGGCGAAGCCCCGCCTCCTGCTCCTCTGCCCTCTGGCGCCTCCTCCCTCGGACGAAGCCCCTCTTCCCCGCATCTCCTCAGGGCGGCGCCGGGCGGCCGGCCTGCTTGGCATTTCCCCTGCGCGCGAGGGCGCGGGCTCCGAGGACGAGGCGAGGCCTGCAGCGGGAGGCGCCGGCCAGGCGGCCATGTTGGCTCCCTCCGCTCCGCCGCGCGGGCCCCTTTTCGAGGGCGGCGCAGGGCCCGGCAGGGCTGAGCTCCCGCCACCCGGGCGCCTTGTCCCGAGGGCGAGCCGAGACGCGGCTCGTCGCTCCCAGTTTCGCTCGCCTCAGTTGGCCACTTCCTCGCCCGCCCGCAAGACTGAGGGCGCTTCCTTCCCTCCGAGCCCGCATACTGGAGAGCGCGCCCCCAGGACAAACACATTTTCAAATAAATTCGGCATTCGACCCAGACGTAGAGAGCTCTTTCGTGTTTTGAGACGTAGGCTGACAGGATGCTCGATGGGGCTCCAGAGTGAACGGGCATGGGATCGAAGGCCTCCTTTCTCCGTAAAACTGATGCCCGAAGCAGTGAGATACCTTACAGTCCTTGGAGGGCGATATTTTAGAACCGAAGTCCTTCCAATACAGCAAACCCTCCAACATTTCTCTGATGAAAATCCCATTCCATAAGGATAATATTACTATTTACACTCCACACATCTTACTGGATTGCCACCCACTCTGGGCAGCTTCCAACATACATAAAAACAATAAAGCACTAAACAATTTTTTTAAAAAACCCTTCCCTTTACAGGGTTGCCTTCAGATGACTCGGGGGTCAGATAACTCCATCCCCTCCCAACATTTCTCCAATGAAAATATGGACATTGCACAAAACTCTGAGGAGGCATAGGAGCCAACTCCTGGAGCCGAGGGGTCTTTGGCCTGCCTAATAAAATATATGAGGGGGTGGCCCTGCCAAGTTGATGGACATTGCCATTCAAATGATTGATTATGTGCGGTGGGGTTTTTATTCAAGTGGGCACCCCTGTGAGGAGGGGCAACCCCCCTTCGCTGAGGGGGGATTCTTCCACCAAGGGCCACGTCAACCGGCGTGCTCCTCTTGCACGGGCAGGCGGCACAGCATGGTACCACTTGGCTGGGGGGGGGCTGTGGCAGCATCAGCGGCTTGCCCGCCCTGGGCACTGGCAACATATGCTATGCTGCTATATTGACCCTTTCACACCCAGAACCCATAGAAAACATTTATTGTACTCCTGAGTTAGCCAAACCTAGCAGATGCACAAGTCACTAGATCATGTTAATGCAGCAAGTAACCAAAGAAGAAGAAAAACCCACCCAAATCATATTCTGATGCCAATTCTGAACCACAGATGATATTCCAGAAAAAAATGGCCTGGCACACCAAATTCTGAGCAAACCAACAAAACTGAAAAGTCATTTCATGCATATCAGCTTCTAAGCTAACAAAACCAACTTTACGCATCACACAGCATTAGATGGGATTGATTCAGCTATTAGCCTTCACCCCACCCCACCCCCGCAATGCAGTAGATGTTAGTTATGCAGGAAACTATTTCAATCTCACCTTTAGATTTTTCATGTGTTGCAGATTGCTGCATATGCAATCCATAAGGTCATTTATCACACCCCAGGCTCCTTTTCATTCCCAGACAATAGGTACAGTAGCCTCAGCCCTAGCCACTTGAATAGGCAGCTTAAAAGAGAAAAATATCTTATAAACTGTGATTATGATTATTAATTGAATTTCTATACCGCCCTCTACCCACAGGTCTCAGGGTGGTTCACAGAAAACAGCTTCCATACGATGTAACATGAGAAGCTGATTTGGGGACAATGGATCCTTTAATTCTTATATGCATTTTTAAATAGACTCTTGGGCTTGGAGGCACATTGGATTTGTTTAAAGTTTAAACTATTTGTATCCCTCTCCACAAGGGATGCGGGTGGCGCTGTGGGTTAAACGACAGAGCCTAGGACTTGCTGATCAGAAGGTCGGCGGTTCGAATCCCCGCGACGGGGTGAGCTCCCGTTGCTCAGTCCCTGCTCCTGCCAACCTAGCAGTTTGAAAGCACGTCAAAGTGCAAGTAGATAAATAGGTACCGCTCTGGCGGGAAGGTAAATGGCGTTTCTGTGCGCTGCTCTGGTTCGCCAGAAGCGGCTTAGTCCTCCTGGCCACATGACCCAGAAGCTGTACGCCGGCTCCCTCGGCCAATAAAGCGAGATGAGCGCCGCAACCCCAGTGTCGGCCACGACTGGACCTAATGGTCAGGGGTCCTTTATCTCTCTCCACAAAGCAGATGCTTCTCTCAGCAACAGTAATAAGAGAATGAGGTTAGCATTGGGCACAAAAATTTCACCACAAAACAGTGGGATTTGGGGGATTTAGATGTTGCTGCTCAAGCAAAGCAACCGGGGAATTTTGAAGGAAACAGAAGAGTTTTTTATTAGGAGAAGTTCCAGCGATAACTTTTTGAGCTTCTTTCATGGCTTTGTTTAAAAGCAAATGTTTTCCAGATGGTCTAGAAATGCAATTTTAGAGATAAAAGCTTCCAGAATTCTGTAATGGATCTTTCCAGCTGCTTGAGCTGACGGAAGAAGCTGGCTCTCTACCCACCATGAGGGAGGGTGAAACCTACCATTAGGCTGAGTGAGGAGGGGGCAGCAGTGGGAGCCATTCTGCAGCTAGAGAGGTGAATGAGTGGCAGCAAGCAAGGTGTAGCAAGCAAGTGCAGTGGAGGCCGCTGCCCCATGGCCGGTTTTGAGGTGAGGTGCAGGAGGAATGCCAGTTCAGATTCTATTCACTGAATCATCGAATTGTAGAGTTGGGTGGAACTCCACCTAGTCCAACCCCTTACAATGCAGGAATCCTGCCCACAACATCCCCTGGGTGGGCTCGGACCACCCACCTTCTGGTTAACCTGGGGTTAACCACTCCAGGCAGCAAAATATATTGGACAAGGGCCTTGCTGGCGTCATGTGAAACCAGGGCTGCCTTTATTTGTCTGACATGCCCCACAACCATCTCAACAACATTACACCCATCTTCATCAAACCTGAAGGCTTTTAGTACAGTTGAATAGGAGTGCTTCTGTCTATGTTAGCAAGTGAATGAAAAACATAAATTCAGTGGTTCAAATACAGTAGTGGTGATTTATATTATTGTTCTCCTGAGTAAGTGTGTTTGGGTAGCATTGCATTGGAATTCAGTAAACCAATACCTGTGACAGCTAGTTTTGCCTCCACCTTCTGACACCATTGTTTTATGGGGCTGAGAGCTCCTCTGATTCTGCAGGCGAAGAAGCTGCCACAGCAGAATCGGTGACCTCATCCATGGTGGATCCCTCTGGGTCTTCTGCTGCAGGTGAGGCAGCCATTGCTTTTCTATAGATGCTGGAGGTATCTGAGGTAGTCTGAAGCAAAGATACCCAAAAGCTGCTGAAAATGTCAAATATATCTGTTCATTTATGCCAAAGGTGAGCAACTTTCTCCTCCTTATGACTGCGTTTTCTTATCACTACATTGTAGTATCACCTTACCCCATGTACGCCCACCAAATCTGCACAGCTGTAAAAAGCTGATCTCTTAGTGTTGCAGTTGCAGCAGCACCTAGCGTACTTTAGAAGTCCCTGCCTACTGGATCAGGCAGGTGACTTTGCTTCACTCTTTCCAGCTCCTGCTTAAAACATTTTTATTTGGCAAGCCTACTCAGACATGCAGAATGTGGACATGTGTTTTAATCTATTTTTAGCTTACCTTTGATTTGAAGTATCTTTTGAATATTTTCAAATACCTGTCTTTTATTGATCGTTTTAATGTCTAATGAGGGTTTTGTTTGTTTGTTTTTGTAAACCAACTAGAGGTTTCATTAACATTAAATTTAGCTAAATAAATATGTATATTCCTTAGAGACAATTTGTCAGGGGCCGCAAGGGCAGAGCAAAACATTTATTTCTCTCTCTTTCTGCCACCTCCTTCTCCCCCACCCCTGCTTCCTCTCTCTTCCTCCCCACCCAGAAGGCTGCTAGGAAAGGGACAAATAGCTCTTGCAACAGGTCTTGTTGAGGTCAAAGGAAGTATTATATTAGGCCAAGGGAGGCAAATGAGCCTAAGAGACACAGGTTGCCCATCTCTGATTTATTCTAAGAACTTGTGTTGCACTTCCCATTTCCATTAGATGACAGAGCTGATACAATAGACACTGGATTTATTAAGTGCTCTTCTATAAGCTACAGCAGCTAAAACCTTTCCATGGTGCAATATATCTTTCTCAAAAGTGCTATTAGTGTGCAAGCCTTTGGGGCAGAGAGATGTTTCAAAATGAAATACGATCAGGTCAGAGGAAGTGCTGGGGACAAGACTCTATGACAGGAACAGGTGCAGCCAAATGAACTAGTTTTACACACAAGGATAAACTGTATGCTAGTGAACTACAGTGGTACCTCGCGTTACAGATGCTTCAGGTTACAGACTCCGCTAACCCAGAAATAGTACCTCAGGTTAAGAACTTTGCTTCAGGATGAGAACAGAAATCGGGCAGCGGCAGCGCGGCAGCAGCAGGAGGCCCCATTAGCTAAAGTGGTGCTTCAGGTTAAGAACAATTTCAGGTTAAGAACGGACCTCCAGAACGAATTAAGTTCTTAACCCGAGGTACCGCTGTACAGCAGTTGAGTAGAAAGCAGCATTGCAGGGTGGGGTGGGGACTCAGTGCTTACCCCCCCCCCCAATAATCTGCTTGGTCATTCTGGTGCATCTAAAGCAGAGGTCAGCAACCTTAATTGGAAGATGGGCCAGTCGATGCTCCGTCCGTCGGAGGATGGGTTGGAGCGTGTGCACACATGTGCTCTTCCGGGTTAGAGGAGCATCTGTGTGCATGCGCACAGGCACCATCAACCTGGAAGTCGATCTCTGCGCCACACCACTCCAG